TCTTGTACCCTGGCTGGGAGTTGCCAAACAGAGTTAAAAGGAGAAATGCGTTGGTAAATTGTTTAAAAAAAAAAAAAAAATTAGCTAGCTGGGAAAAAAAAACATATGCACATTTGCACACACAAATGAGGACTATGCGAACTGCGAGCCCATTGAGAAATATGGACACTCCCCCCTTCTGTGTGCCATTCTCTACCCCCTTTGGCCAACCATCCGCAAAAAGAAAAGAAAAAGATAGAAACAAATAAAACAAACAAACAAATAAACAAACAAGCAGACAAACAGACAAATGGAAACACCAGACGCCGGGGAGAGGAGCATGTTCCATATGAGAGGGCCTGGCCAAAGGGGAGGACACGCGTCCTCAGTAGGGGGGTACACGGAGAATAACGTGCAGGAAATTATCAAATTGGGAAAAGTTGGCGGCGAGCCAGTAGAGTGGCGTTTTCAGCGGAATTTGAATCCCGTTGATTATTATGAACATGTAGGGGCTGAATATTAAGTAATCGTCTTCGACAAAGTAAAAAATGCTTTCCCCGTCGGGGGGCGCAGGCGCACTTGGCACTGCCGCGGCATTTTCTGATACCGCCTCCGCCGCTGCACTTTCTGGGGGAAGGTGGCCTTGTGCGCCAACCTCACCGTTTGTCCTGTGACCGTGCAAGTTATCCGGCACCACGGCGACCCTCCCCCCTGTTGCGCGTTTTTTTATTTTCCTAAAAAAGGAAGGGAACTCCTTGTGGAGAAAGTCCCCCAACGTGTAGGCAGAAAAACCGCAAACCGTATTTACTGTATTGTCTATATTTTCGGTCCCTTCTTCGGGGGCAATTTTGAACAGAGGGCACTTCGTCAACACTTGATTGTATGGGGGTCCATAAATGTGTATAATTATGGGAACGTCTTTAACGACGTTTTCGTCCTTCATAAGGGCACACACGGAATTGTGCTCCCCGCTGGTGACGCCGTTTTGCCCGTTTTGTTGCACCTGCGAACACTTGGCGTTAAAGTAATCGACGAAACGGACCATATTATAATCGATGTGCTCCCTATAGAGGGCGCAAACACTTTCGACGTCAAACCGTTTCAAATTCTGCAGTAACTCGTTTTCCACCTGCTGCGGCAGCATCTGAAGCACCCTGTTATTTTTGTTAAAGACGTAGTTCGCCTTCTTAAGCTGATTGATGAGGTATTCCTCAAAGTCGTGAAATCCTCTGTACAGAGGTATGCAGCTGTTGTAGGACAAAAGGTTGACATTCGCATCGTAACTCATTTTGGTTCCTCCCCCTCTTTCAAAATGTGCATTGTAGTTTTCTTCATCTTTGAAGTGGACTACCAGTCTCCATGGGATGTTCCTATCCGCTATGTTTAAAAATTGCTGATCATACCAGTCATTATTTATCTGTTTGTTCATTCGCATGTGGTAGTACTTAACGGGGGGGTTCTTCGCGTGTGTTTCGTTGTTTTTCCCATCCGTCTTGTCTTCATCCCGTCCACATGGCTTCTCCCCAGTGAGGGAACCCTTTGTGGCATCATTCAACGGAGCTTTGCTTGAGTCTTTTCCCCCCTCTAGCTGCTCCCTCTCAGCTTCACCAAGTAAATCACTTACCGGGTCGGGAGTGATCTCTAAGACACTAATATGGTCAGGAAATAATTTCCCACTGGAGCATCTCTTCCAGCTTGTTTGCTGCTCTTCTAAGATTGGAAAACTGCAATCCTCCCCTTCGACATCGCAGTATATATCGAATAGTACCCCTATGGGGAGTCTCCAATCGAGTATAATCCTCTCCTGGAGTGGTTCGTCAATCTGGGTTCTCTCTGTGAAGGTTGTCCAATTGGGATTTTCTCCACCGGATGGGGGAGGCATTTCGGATATACTGCTATTAATACTAGGACATGTTACGGGGGAACTTCCTTCCTGGTGTTCTTTCCCATTTGGGTGAACAGGCAAAGGGGTCCTTCTTCTTCCTCCTCTTCCACTTCTTCCACTTCTTTTTCTCCCCCCCTGGATGCATTCAAAGTACACCCCAAATTTGTTCCCATAAAAGGGAAAAACGAACGATCCAAAATAATCCATACATTTCGGAACTATGTTGGATAGGTACATATACCTATGGACATGCAGAAGGTAATTCGCTCGAGAGACAAGTGATGGGGAATCTTTTTCACTAAGGATGAGACATAATACGAATCCGCTGGCTTCGATGTCTTTGTCAATTTGGTCTACATTTGGCTTTTCCAAAAGGGGGATTACTCTGTTGTTATGCTTCTCCATGTTGCACGATCTATTTGTTTTTTTTTTTGGCAAGCTGCTACGTTTTTGCTTCCTCTTCCACCTCGCCGCACCTGTCTGTTCATCATCACGCGGGTAGAAAGGGGTATCTCCTGTAGTTAGGTCTCCCACGTTCGTGGGGTTACAGGAAGGAGGCACCCTTTCTTTGTTAGCTACACGCGGGGGGCCTCTCCACAGTGACGTTGATCACCCTGAACAGGGGGTTTGATCTCTCCAAGGCGGGGCATCCCCAAATGGAGAAACCCCAAATGGAGAAACCCCAAATGGAGAAACCCCAAATGGAGAAACCCCAAATGGCGTGCCCAAATTATAGACGCAGTTCACCCTTCTGTCATACTGCAGAGGAGCATGAGGTGTACCTCTCCAATGGACGGGAGGATTAAGCAAAACAGGATGGGCCACTTCCACAGGAGCGACGCGGAAAGCTACCAAGTTGCACCAGAAAAGGGGGGGATTCCACCAAAGGGGTAACGTTCATGTGCCAGTTCGCATAAAATTACAAAAAAAAAAAAAAAAAAAAAAAAAAAGAAGAAGAAGAAAAAAGGGGACCACTTCATGAGGGGAGTTGTGGGAGGGTGTGTCACAAAAGAGGCGCATTAATGTGCTTCAGGAAAGAAACGGACGGCTTCATTTTGCTGTTCCCTGCGTGAGGGTTACCTTATGGGTTTTCACTGCGGCGCCGGAGGAGTCCCCAGCTTGGCCGATTTCTGCGTCGCTGCATCCCCTAGCACAACAATTTGTGAGGCGTTACACGACAGTATCGGACGCTCAGAAAATCCTGCTTCAACTTAGCGATAACTGTTGCCTCCATTTTTTTCTCCTCGTCTTTATGTTAACCCAATTCTACATAAGGTAGTTTCCCCTCTTTTGGTTCATCCCTCAGAAGGGGCTGATCAATCGTGGATCATCCCGAAGGGTCGTTTTCCCGATTGAGCGGCTCCCCATGCCCGTTGCATGGATTTACGTAAATTTTGTGGGGCGGCTCTCACTCGTTCAGGCGTTAAGAAGATTGACGGAATGGCTTGGTTGAGTGAATAACTCGGCTGACTGAATAACTCGGCTGACTGAATAACTCGGTTGACTGAATAACTCGGTTGACTGAATAACTCGGTTGACTGAATAACTCGGTTGACTGAATAACTCGGTTGACTGCTTCATTTGGCTGACTGCATAACTTGGCTCAGTTGCTTCTTACCTCGCCAACGTGGGTATTCTTCCCCCCTTGTTACCGCTTCCCCTGGTGCCGCTCCCCTGTGCCGCTCCCCTGTGCCGCTCCACAATGAAGCTGCGCAAGCACGGGGGGTCGCTGGACGAGGAGAAATTCTTCGAAAATGTGAGCAAAGATGACTCGGGCATGATAAAAAAGTTTACCCTTGGAGTGTGCGCCATGGAAAGCAAAGTGGAGAGCGCACCCATGGAGTGTATCTTGAAGAGGCTAGCCAAAAGTGGAGATTTTAACATAATCAAATTTAAAGGAGACATGATTTTAAATCACGACATAGACTCGTGGCCAATAGTAGATTGTCTGATAGCCTTTTACTCCACGGGGTTCCCTCTCAAGAAAGCCATCGAGTATGTGAAGAAATACAAACCAATAACCTTAAACAATCTAAGCAGGCAGTTAATTTTAAGATCAAGGTTGCAGATCTATGAGGAGTTAAAAAAGTGGAAAGTGCCTCATGCCAATTATGTGGTCGTAGATCACGATGCTGTGAAGAGAGGAGAACATGTTTTTGAAGAATACTATGACTATATTGTATATAACAATATTAGACTGAATAAACCTTTTATAGAGAAACCTATCAATGCAGATAATCACAATAATTGGATTTATTACCCAAAGAATACTGGTGGCGGGTGTAAGAAGCTCTTTAGGAAGGTTAAAGACAGGAGTAGTGAATACTGCCCTGATGTACACAGGGTTAGGAATAACGGAATGTATATATATGAGGAATTCCTTTCAACCTTCGGCACAGACGTAAAAGTATACACCGTTGGGCAAATGTTTGCTCATGCGGAAGCTAGGAAATCTCCCGCACTCGATGGAAAAGTGTGTAGGACCTCCGATGGGAAGGAAGTTCGATACGCTGTCATCCTCTCAGAGGCGGAGAAAATTATTGCGTATCGGATTGTGGAAGCATTCCAGCAAACTGTCTGCGGCTTCGACATTTTGAGGACGACCATGGGACCCTTCGTCTGTGATGTGAATGGGTGGTCTTTCGTAAAAGGGAACATAAAATATTACAACGATTGTGCACACATTTTGAGAGCCATGTTTTTGGCGAAGCTGGAAGAAAAATATAATATCATTCCGAGAGACCTTGCCGACAACTGGTACAACATAGAGAACGAAGAGGAGGTGTTGAGGAAAACCTTTAGACAGCCGGATGATCTCCATTGTTCTCACCATGAAGAGTTATGTTCCGTGATTATTGTGATGCGCCATGGGGATAGGAAGCCGAAACAGAAAATGAAATTTCTCACCGATCGTCCTCTTCTTTTGGACTACTTCAATTGTGAGGAAAACTTATACAACGTGATTGAGAACAAACTCGCTGCAGACGATCAGCAGAAGGCTAACCAGATGGAACTCAGCAACAGCAATAATAACTTGTCTGTTAGTTGCGTCCCCTCCGATAGAGTGGATTCCTCGATGTTTCAGTACGACGCCGCGGCCAAGGCCCCCTCTACGCTGAGCAAAATATCCTTCATTTCGCAGAAGAGCGGCGAGGTGGTGAGCGCAGCGAGTGCGGAGCGGGACCCATCCGCGGCGAACGCTTCAAACGGTGCAAACGGTGTAAACGGTGCGACCGCTTCAAACGCTTCGAACGCTTCCAACCCTGCGAATGGTCTGCCCCCAGACGAGCAGGAGCGCCGAGACAGCCTCTACAAGGAGTACACAAAGAAGGAAATCAAATTCAAGTCGCCAGAGGAGCTGCAGGACCTCTTCCTGCGGAACAACATCATCCTGGGCGACGTCGAGAAGGAGTACAAGGCGCTGAAAGCGGAGGCCGAGGCAAGGAGAGCCGAGCTGGCGATGAGAAGTGCTTCCGTGGGAAGGGATGAGGCGGTGGAAGGGAATGAGACGGTGAGAAGAAATGAGACGGTGAGAAGAAATGAGACGGTGAGAAGAAATGAGACGGTGAGAAGAAATGAGACGGTGAGAAGAAATGAGACGGTGAGAGGAAATGAAACGCTGGGAAGAAGTGATGGGGAGGCTTCTCTTAAGCGTGAAGAAGACCCTCCCAAAAGTGACGTGGCTGCCTCTGCGCGTGACGTAACCGCCCCTAAAGGGGACGTGTCCGAGGCGCGTCCCCACGCCGCGATGACGCAGGAGGAGCTGGAGGCCAAGCTCAGCGAATACGAAATTATGATAGAGAACCACAAGACGCTGCAGAAGGTGTTGGAGCGCGGAGATGGGTTCACAGGAATAAACAGAAAGATACAGCTGAAGCCAGTGGAGTTCCTCGTCCTGGACGACAAAATTGTGGTGACGAGAATTTTGACAGTAGCCAAGTGGGGAGGGGAGCTAACTAGGATGGGAAGGAGGCAGTCGGAAAATCTAGGAAAGAGATTCAGAGCAACTCTCTATCCAGGGGATTCAGACGGATTATTACGATTACACTCAACTTTTAGGCACGACTTCAAAATATTTACCTCAGATGAAGGGAGGTGCCAGATAACGTCCGCCGCATTTACAAAAGGGTTTCTAGACCTAGATGGAGAACTCACCCCGATCCTAGTGGCCATGGTGATTAGAAATTCAAAAGCTCATAGTCTGCTCGATGATAATAGACCTAGTCTAAATAGAACCCAGTGTAAACAATACATAGATAACGTACTGAATCAGGACAAGGATATTGACGAGGATCTTTTGAAGAAACTCACATCTGGGAAGCATGCTAGAGGGTTGCGCGAATCATTGAGGAAGATCTCCAATTTCTTTCAACTGATGGAGAAAATTAGAAAAACCATCTATGATTTTCTCAAGGGATTAAATCAGGAAGTGCAGAAATGGTTAAATCTATTCCCATATGATGAGTACGCTCTGTATGTCATCGACATTCTACACGAAATACAAGTCAGATGGAAGTCACTCACCAAGATGTGGTTTAAGAAAAATAAAAACAATTACGACACGTCGAAAATACCAGATATTGTAGACAACATAAGATTTGATCTCATTCATCATCATTCCTATCTGGGCTGTGGACTAGACAAGGCTTTCGAGATTTATAATCAAATAGAACCGCTAGCCAATTTTATTTCCCAAGCAGAGTATGGAATCACTCCTGAGGAAAAAGTCAAAATCGGAGTTAACATTGTTGGCAAGCTGCTTCGCAAACTAATCCATGATGTTACCTTTTACAGAGATGAAGAGGTTCGGAATAAAAGAAACAACAAAGGTTGCTTTGATTTAAAGAATGCTCTTAACATTTCCTACATCAATTCGTTTAATCTATCCAAGAATGACAAGACGGGACTCCCAACAGGTGAAAAGAACCCACAACAACAGGTTCTGGAAAATGCCAAAGTAGATGCACAGCACGCCAATTGGCTAGACAAGGAGATACAAAAGGACACTCCCAAATTGTTTAGCATGTGCAAGTATGACTCGAGACAAATCTTCATTGACAACCGTCTGCAGAAGGGTGCCGAGCAGCTCCTCCCCGCCACCATGGCCACCATCGCGACGGACCCGTGTGCCACCAAGACAGAGCTGTCACTGTGGAACGAGGCCACCTCCAGTTCGGTAGCAACCAACACGGTAAACGCGGTCAACACGGCAACCGCGCCTTACTCCAACGGGGCGTACTATAGTGGCGCTTACCCTAGTGAGGCCTTCTCAAGCGCCGCGTTCTCTTGCGTCACCTCCTCCAGTGGAAGGCCTTCTCTGAGCGAGCCCCAGGTGAAGAAATCCATTTACAGTGAACTCAACCAGAAGGGTGGAAAAGTTGGAAGCGATGCACAAGTTGGAGGTTCCCCGGGGGGGGGAACTTCAACCCAAGTGGGGAAGGACCCAACATGTGCGGAGTCGACAGAAGCTGTGGAGTCGAAAACAGGTGAGGGTGGCCCCATTGGCCTGAATGGCGGTCTCACAGACTTCACTGGCAATGGCCTACTTGACCTCTCCAAGCACACTAATGGGGAGAGGCCGGAGGAAGGCGACATCCACCACAGGGACGAGTTCGAGGGGGGCACCCGGACGCCGGACAGGAGCTCCACCAAAGGTGCGTCTGGGGCAGCTTCCGATGATCCACAGGGCGGTTCGACTCACATCGGGAGCAGCCCTGTTGATAACACGGTTAGTAGCAGTAATGTTGGCAGTAGCGTCGTAGGTATGGTTGGCAGCCCCGCTAGTGTTTGCCCAAACGAGAAGAACCCCTTCAAAGCGGCGGGGGGAGGTGTCACGTACAACATTAACGCGAAAGATCTGTACACGCCAAAGCTTATCAATAAGAAGGAGGCCCTCGTGATAAACTCATCGGATCTGTGGGCCCATCAGAATAAGTACAGAAAGGAAAACAACGAAAAACAGAAAATGAAGAAAATAAAAAACGCCAAGGAGAGTGAACTGAATTTGAAAAGAGAGGACAACGTCGAAGTGGGTAGCGACTATAGGGGACTAGACAAGTATGGGAGTAACCGAATGAAAGGTGTAGGAGGAATTAGTGGAAGTGGAAGCGATACCACCGCGAAGGACCTACGTGGGAAGGTAAACGCCAGGTTGGATGGACACAAAAGTGAAGAGGAAAGAGGAAGGAATGGTGCAGCTCGTAATGGGGCAGCTTGTAATGGGGCAGCTCGTAATGGGGCAGCTTGTAATGGGGCAGCTTGTAATGGGGCATCTTGTAATGGGGAAGCTCGTAATGGGGCAGCTCGTAATGGGGCAGCTCGTAATGGGGCAGCTCGTAATGGGGCAGCTCGTAATGGACCAGCTTGTAATGGCGCAGCACGGAGTGGCACAGATCAGGATGGCGCCTTGCGAAGTGCCTATGAATGCTCACAACAGGGGGACAAAGAAGGAATGAAAAACGAGCAGGGTAGTAACAATATGTCGCAGAGGAAGGCAGAGGAGAAAACATATCAGGAGTACCAAATTGAGGAGACATATCGACAGGTGGATAACGATGAGGAGCAGCAGAAGGAGGAGAAGAAGCAGGAGAAGGATGAGCAGCAGAACCAGGAGAAGGAGAAGGAAGAAGAAGACGGAGAAGAGGCAGAAGATGACGAAGGAGAGGAAGAACACGACCATGACGATGACGAAGATATAATTAGACTTAAAGAGACAGATGCAAGGAGGTTAGGAATCCGATCTCCATGGAGGATGGTTAGATCTCGGTACTACGTGACGTCAGCTTCGCACATGATTTCTCTATTGAGTATTCTGATCCATGCCAAGAATATAGACAGCTCGACTGGCCAAAATATAATCGATAATGATTCCATTAAAAGTGTGGGGGACGTGACAGATTTGCATTACTTATCACATTTAGTTTTTAGAGTCTGGGAGAGAAAACAGCTAAAGCGAAATGACAGCAACAGGTTTCGAATCGAAATTTTGTTCAGCTCTGGTGCCAGGGACGGGTTCGGACAGAACTATGAACTGCTGGAGAAAGACGCTAAGGCGCAGCAGCAGAAGTACGAGAGGCACTTTAGCAAATACGTGGATGACAGCAGGAGAGGCGAGGGGGGCGGGGAGGTGAACCTGTCTAACCAGATAAGCCGTGCAAACTCTGCCGTGAGCAAGGGGGAGAAGAAGCCATCTGGGGAGAAGCAATCCGATGGAAGGCCACCCGGGGAGACACCATCCGGAGAAACGTCCCCCACAGAGAAGTCCCTTCTGGAGAAGCTCAACACAGCGAGCAATAATCAGAGCGCGTCCGCATCGGACAAGGTGGAGTCGAAAGATTCCCTCTCACAGGCGGTACCCCAGGGGCAGGAAGACAAGGGGAAGGTGAGCGCGGGCAACGCATTCTGGTTATCCGACGGCGTGGAGGGGAGGCCGGCCAGTTTGGGCGGGTGCGTGCCGAGTTCGAAGTGTGACCTGGTGAACACGGAAAGGAAAGACGGGAGTGGCATCGACAATGAGAAGGGAAACCTGGGAGGAAGCGACTCTGCTCTTAGAAATGATACTTCTCACAGAATAGAGACTTCGCTCAGAAGAGAAACTTCTCCAAGAAGAGACACTTCTCTCAGAAAGGACGCCGTGCGCAGGAATCTATTGCGGAGACAATTCTCAGCCAACTCAGAAAACCTGTTCCGAAGAGCAGAGGAAGAAGAAGACGCCAACTTCCACCAAGGGGTCTACAAGAGAGATCTGTCCTTCCAGTTTGGAGGAGTACATGATAAGCTGAGTTCAATGAACAACAACGCGACAAGGACGGGAAGCTACATGATGAGATCCATCAGCTCCAATTTGAGGAAAAAAAAATACAAACAAAAAGATGGGCTAAATGTAGAATACGAAAAAAAAAAAAAGGAAGACATCACAAAGGAGAATCTTTTAACGTATGAACCTGAGTGTAGCATTGACATGGGTACACAAGAAGGAAATCCAAAATCACGTCGGAGCTTTTCCTGCCTGAGTGATAGGTCCTTCTATATAAACCCAATACAGATCGAGTTAGAAGGGGACGCTAATGCCAGTAAAAATTTTAATGGAAGAAGAAACAGCCTGATCGAAAATGAATCGGCAAGAAATACTTTGCAGCACAGCCTTCAACACAAAATTGAGCGTCCATTCCAACACAAGATCGAGAGACCTTTCCAACACAAAATTGAGCACCCCTTCGAGAAGAACAGTGAGCATGATCCGAAGGACAACAAAAAGGCAAATGTATTTTCGCACGTATTTCAGCATTTTAACGAGAATAAAAAAAACTCCACGTCGAATTTGAAGTTCTTCTACAAAACATACATGCCTGATTATGAGAAGATTATCGAGAATGACAAGAAGGCGGAGACCTTCGACGTCCCTCCCTACTGTGAGTTGGCACCCCTCATTGTGCTGACGAAGAATTGCCAGCTGTCTACCTTTGAGAATATCCTCACGCATATTCTGAACAAGTACTCCAAGGGCGGGAAGGGGAAGGACAAGGGGCCCAAAGCGGGGCCCAAGCCAACTTGAGGTGGCGCAGCGGAGCGATATGCACGCCGTCCGTCGTCCCACTCCCGTGTCCTTCCCTTTTTTCATATTCATGTGATTCTAATTTTATTTCGCGATAGTAATGTGTAACCTGTTTGGCTTTCTTTCCCTCATTTGTGCGGACGATCCGATCGTCACCGCATGTTTAGCAACACGAAAAAAAACAAAAACAAAGAAAAAAAAAACAAAAACAAAGAAAAAAAAAACAAAAACAAAGAGAAAAAAACAAAAACTAACAAAAAAAAGGCAAAAACAAAGCAAACAAGAAAAAGACAAAAAAAGCCACGCCTCTTAACCATCCCAATGGGTTAATGCGAAGGGGGGACTACCCCACTTGGTTCATCTTTCTCTGCAGGGCGGTCAGATACTCCTCATTCTCTTCCGCGTGGACTGCCTTGGCAATGCCCACCTGTTATGGGGGATAAACGTGAGAAAAGGCAAAAGAAGTAGTTACAGGGTAGGAATACAGACAGGACGATGGGGTGGGGGGGGGCTTCACCAATGGGCACCATTTTCAAGGCAGCCGTGGCACTGCTCTGTCGCGCCACTAAACGCTCTTGCCGCTTACGTAGGAGCCCTTGTGTCCATCTCCGCGCCGGTAAACGGTGTAGTAGTATCGCATGAAGGTCGCATTCCCCAAAATATAGGCGTGTCCATATTCAGGCGAAACCTCGATTTCCATGAACGCCGGCTTGCATATGTCGGACCTCCGGACCAGGTACTGCGCCGGCGTCAGCGTGAAGGGCATGTTGTTCTGCGGGGTGGGGGAGAGCGGCATGTGTTCAATGGCGAGCGTTTGCAAAGTTTCGCTTTTATGAACGCTTAAAGTGCTTCAAGCACACGTGAAGTGGTTAAATGTTGTGCATCTTCCTCTAATTACAATGACGTAGGTCAGATTGGGGTAACTCGCCACTACTTCGTCTATGTTGCTGTCGTCACATTTCTGTGGGGGGAGGTGCGAAGGTGTTTTTCTTCTTTTGCAGCTAGCCATTTTGCGCACTGCCTGTGTTTTGTGTTTGTTTTTTTTTTCAGCTAGCCATTTTGTGCACTGCCCATGTCGTGTGTGCATTTTTTTTTTTTCCCGTTTGTATGGCCTGTTCAGGCGATTTTTCCAAACGTACCTTCGGTGGGATGACTTTGAAGAAGTAGTCGATCTCCGACTTAGGGACACTATTGTAGGAGGTCCCAGAATCGAAGATGAGGTAGTTTTTGTTTTTCTTTAATTTCTTGTTCTTGCCTCGCCGGTTGACTCTTCTGAGGTGTCTTCTCCACCTGTGCCGCCTGCGCCATCGGTGGTGTGCCTTTCTACGGTGCCTTTCCGGGTGAGCACCATATGAGTTCCCTTCGTCCCTGGTAGAATACCCTCCATTTCTGTCTTCCCTAGAGAGGTTCTCCCCCGATGGGTCTTCCTCCTCTGAGTCTACTTCTGCGCCTTCCCGACGGTGCTGCCAAACCCTCGACATGTCCATCAAGTGACTTTTTCTTTTCAAGTATTTCCTCCCAAAGGAATTTCTTTGCACTTTTCCTTTTTTTTTTTTCTTTCTCAAATCGTAAACAATAGAACTGGAGTCACAACAAAATTTCTGGTGATCGATGTACAGTCCATCAAATTGTATTTCCCAGTAGTATTCTCTGACCACTGGGAACATATAAATGTCTCCCTTGAAAAAGCGGCTATCCACTCCTCCGAAGATTAAAGCTGAATGTTTATTGTCCTTTCCTATATATATAGAGAACTCGTTATGGTTGAACTTATAAGTGTTCATTAGATTTTCATAGATCGTTGTCTTCCCTGTGGACAGCATTGCTGGGAATGCCAATCCGACTATGCCTTCGAAGTTGATTCTCTCAAAGACGTTTGATTTTGCTTCGCTCCTTTTCTCGCGCTTTACGAGTCCAAAGGGTTGGTTGAACACCTGGAAGGGCCCTATGCGGAAGTTCTCCACGCCGATCACGCCTTGGATTATTCCCGTGCCGAACTAGGCATATAAATGGGGTGTAAAGGAGCGGGGTGTAAAGGGGCTGGACGTAAAGAAGAAGGTGAGAGCGTAACCACGTCATTAGATAGCCACGTCACTAGATAACCACGTCATTGTATAACCACGTTAGTGAATAACCAGGTGCGTACGTCTATCTCTACACATCGCTAACGCCCCACCATGATGTCCAGATTCGTGAGCGGCTTGTAGTAGCGGAAGCTGCTAGACAACTTGTAGTTGTACCGGTGCACCTTGAGACAAGTGTCATCCTTGCACTTGGTGCTCACGACCCAGATGTTCCTTCGTGGGGGAAGCAGTGTTGGAAGCAGTGGGGTATACATATGTGTGGTACGCTCGAACACGAAGTGTGCATATACACACATGGGGGGATTATTTCGCTGCGTAGCCACATCTCCAAGTGGCGGAGGTGACCTTTCCCTTCTTCCCTCCCCTGTCCAAACTTACGTGCTCCCGGTGTCAAAAATGGGTCTGATCGTTTGAGGCGGGGTGCCTATTTGGATGTACCCGACGTATTGGCTCTGCGAGGAGGGGCAGTGAAGAGGAAGTGATTAATGGGTGAAGAAGGGGAAGCGATTAATGGATCAAGAAGAGGAAGCCATTGTGTGGGGAGGACATGGCCAATGAGCGTAGAGAAAGTGATTAATGGGTGAAGAAGCACAGGCCACTGATTTGAGCAGGTCTAGCCAATTGGACACTCCCCTGCTGTCGTGTGCTTAGTTTCGTTTGGACACAACAGCTCCGAAGATAAATGCTCACGTCTTGCAACTGCTGCAGGGGTAGGGTCACTTGGTCGGTAGAGGAAAAAACCTCCTTCTTTTTAGACGCGCCGCTCCAACTGCTCCCCCGTGCCTGGGACTTCTCCCCCGAGCCATCCATAAAGTGTGCAACGTAATCAGGCTGTCCAGAAACACCGTTACTCCTGTGACAGTCCGAAGTGACGCAATTTGGAAACTCATCGGGGTGCTTGTCTTCCCCTCCGTAATGGGTTCCTTTGTTATGATGGAAAAGCTGGTTGTCCATCGTCACGTCGGAAGGGGAATCTTCCTCCTCCTTCTCCCCCTCGGCTTCGTCTTCCCCTTCAAAAAAACTGTAAGATCCTTTTTTCTTCTTTTTCTTCCATTTCTGCTGGGGCAAATTTTGTAGAAGCCCTGATTTTATTTTTCCAGTTTTGCCTTGAAGATATTTGCGCTTGCTGGGGATGGCCACCAAGGGGATTATGTTCTGCGCGTGAGAGAAAAAAAAAGAAAGGGGGAGGGAGGGGCTCATTTATCGTTGTCACGCTCGGTACTATCCCTTTTGAGGCACTATCACACGCTCTCGCTGCCCTCCTGGATTGGTACTTCCCTGGGCGGTTACCTCAGACTCCCCCTTCTCATGGATGCACACGGAACAAACGTCGCACGTGTCACACGTCGGCATGTCCAAGTTCGTCTCTTTCTCCCATGTTAGGTCAGTTACGAATCTGGGGGTGGAACCAGGTCGTACGCAGCTGCCTTGTCTAAAAAGGAAAAGATGTACTGCGAACAGCAGGGATGCCGTCGGGTGAATTAACAAGCTCGAGAGGAGTCTTCTCCCCAGTTTCTGGAAACTACGGGGGGTCATCTTTGCATCTGGATCGGGGGAGAATTGAACACAGTGGGAGGCGCGTGGGGGGGAGGAACGCCAAAGGGGCTACCCTCATCAGGAGAGATGGTTGTCCACACAGTATCACACATGGACTAAAGATTAAGGAAGTTGCCTGCTAGCACCCTTAAAAGGGAGAAAAGAACCCTTAACAGGTAGAAGTAATCTTAACAGGAAGAGACACCCTTAAAAGGAAGCAGCAGCCTGGACAGGAAGAGACTTCCATTGGGGATGAAACTTCCTTTGGGGAAGAAACCTCCTTTGGGGAAGAAAATCCTCCTTGGCGACAAAAAATGACTCATAAAAACACCCGTTGGTCGCTCCTTAGTTTTGTCCCACGAAAAAGAAAAAAAAAAAAAAAAAAAAAAAAATGAAGAAACAAGCATAGCCACACAAACATATCAACGAAGCGACACAAAAACGTAACGCAACGTGGACGACGCAAAGCAGCCAATGGTCAATCGTCAAACTAATCAAGGATGGGCGAAAACGAAGCAGTTTTCACTTGGGGCGCCCCTGGGAAATATTCATACACATTCATACACGCACGACTGCTACTGGGTCGCGCGATTTTCAATAAATAACGTGGTGAATTCGATTATAATTTGTTCGCCCTGCTCTGTCTTCTCTACGTGAATGTCATTTGGGCGGATTCGTCCTTGTGTACTGCTGGCCCGGGGGGCATATCTCCTCATAAAAATGCACATAAATATGTACGTGAGGATGCACGTAAGCATGCACGCAAAGACGCATCAAGGGTGGAGGCGGATGTAAATGCGACGGAGAACAGTCTATTCTTTGGGTCATGAGGGGACACTCGTGCATCCCCTCTTATCATCAAAGTCGCGGCAAACTCACCGCGAATTCGTCGCCAAGTCGCCGCCAACTCGTCGCCAGCTCGCCTGAACTCACATTCGCGTATGCCCCCCCTTCCAGAACAACTGACAACGTGCAGAGCGTTGCACCTGCGCCCGCTCGGTCACACATAAAATGTCCAGATTAATTCGAAGGGGAAATCGCAAAAAGGGGAGTAAAAAAAAAAAAAAATATGCCTCGCAAATTGGGCAAACTTCATCAACTTCGTCAACTTCGCCCGCTGCGGCGATCATCCGCATGCCACACTACATACGTATGCACACACATGGTGAACAAACCGGATCGGTAGAAGAAAAAGAAAAGGAAAAAAAAAATTGCCATGGGGAAGTGCGCCCCCCTGAGGGAAACGCCGTCAAAAGTCAATCAGTTTGCCGAACAAAATGTGCTGCAGGATTTGGCGCTTCTGGATGATCTCTGCTTGATACATCTTCAGCAGTCCTGAGCAGATTTTCTCCCTGAGAAAAAGGAAGAAAAAAATTAAGGGAAGCTACACAGATGGCAAACAATGCACGCATAAGTTGCGCTGCCGGGGGGGGTAATCATCCGAACGGGGAACATGCGTCTTCAATTCCGCTAGCCATACCATGTCTCCACACCGGAAATGTCGTACAACATTTGGGAGGATTCGTGAAAGGGGGCGTGCTTCATCTGCGAGGAGGAGGGAAGCGTGCAGGCAAGCACATAGGTGTGTATGCATGCAATTACACACTGCTAGTCTAGACGCAAAGATGTCCCAAAGTGCCGCTCGAACGGAACAGATTCACCACCACGACATGGCATACCATCGAAATGTATTTCAACGCGTCAAAATAAAGGTACTTGGGTGCCCACAGCTCCAGAAGTTCCTTCTTTTCGATCTGAAGAACAGGGCACACGAAAAGGGTGGAAAAAAAAAAAAAAAAAAAGATAAAAACAAAGTGTATACCCGTGGAGGTACTACATGTGCCGACTGGCTAGTGCGTACACAACGGGACCAACAAAAGATGGCTCTATGGAAAGGGGCCCACCACGTTGCGGGAAATACACTCCCCCCCTTACATCGTCCGTCTTTATCTTCGTGTTGTAGGATAACTGCGCTGCGCCGAATAGAAAGACTAAAAACTGGAAGTCGTCCAGCCCCCAGGCGCCTCTGCTCCCTGCAGGCTCCACGGTGTAGGTGATTTGGATTCTTCTGACGCATTCGAGGTACCTGAGCGGTTAGAGGGGAGGAGGAAAGGAGGAGGATATTCCAGAGGTGGTTGCATTTTGGCACTGCCTACTGAGGGGGGAGTTAAATCCAGAGAAATGCGGCTGCTCATCATTCTACGGATTATCTACATGCGCAACCCGCTTATCAGTACATACACGTCGCGCAGTCCGCATGGTGCAGTCCGCTTAGCGCAGTCCACTTCTCTCGTGCGGTGTGAACCGCTAGCCTTACTGCCGGTAGAGAACAAGGACGAGGTGTTTGTGGTCGGGAGGGCCAAAAAACTGCAGTTTGTTAAGGCAAAAGAGGAAAAGCAGAAAATTCAGCTCATGCCCTGTGCCATAGTCAATCCGCTTCCTATTCCCTACTGAGTTTTTTAAATAGTGACCCAACTGAAAGGTATGTTCCGATAAGTTCTGTAATCCCGATTCGGCTAAAACCTTTGGTAACTTTTCGTCAACCTCTTTGTAATACTCATCACAGAAAATTTGGAAGCCTTTGTTGCCAAATCGAGTCGGCTGCTTTATGGGGGGACACAGATCTATATAATTGTTCATGCTCTTTACGAGAGTGAATACATTCTGTACGTTGCGTGAAATGAGCAGGATGTTTTCGACTTTGTCAGTGGGTGTGCCTACTCCTTCGACGCTGTCCTCCCGTGTGTAGAATTGATCCAGGGGATGCATCTCCACCGCCACGACGGAAGTGTTTAGTTGCGTAATGAAATCGATCAGCTCGTTGTAGGCTGCACTTTTGATGAACCTTTGCACGCTATCCTCGTCCACGATTTTGAAGCTCAGCCCCGAGTCGTCCCCCATTTGGCTGGTCATATGGTTGGCTATTTCGGTCGTCATATCGTTGGGCATTTTCTATGAAGTGGCCGAGTGGCGCGGCGTTGCGGAGGGCTCAGACAGGGTAGGTTCTCTCCAGAGTAGACGGTGTTGTTCACGCACAGTTGTAGGTATAACCCCCCCTTCCGTGCACATAGGTGGTTTATCCTTTTTTTCTTTGCCCCTTGTCCCCACACTGATGGTTGTCCTCTCGTTCTGTTCTCAGAAGTGGGGGCCCCAGCTCCTCAGCATTACAGTGTATATTTTTATTTTTTTTTTTTTTCCTTTTCTTCCACTTTTGTTACTTCCCCCGGGATGTTCTACCTCTCTGTGCCGCCAACACAGCAACGTGGAGCTGCTCAAATTTTGGCGTATCAGAAAGGAACTTGCCTCACAAAAGGTTTGATTGAAAAAAAAAAAAAAAGGGGGGGACTTCCTTTTTTTTTTTTTTTTTTGATGTGGATTTGCAAGGGGACAATTCGAATGTCAATCATTTGCCACTGACCATTTTGTAAAAAATACCACTGGGAAGGAACGGAGGGGGCACCTTAGAACCGTAGTGAACTCGGGGAAACGTCCTTCCTGCCACGTGAAAAAAAAAAAAAAAAAGAACTTTTGCCAGCAACAAAACTACTACATCACTTTTGTGCTCCGCTGTGATGGGATAGTTCGTTCAATTCGGCGGAGAGAAGAAAAAAAAGATATAGCCCCTTGGAGAGAAATAAAACCAATATACATTCCACCGATTGGCGTATGTCTTGATGGAAAGTAAAGGTTTCTGCTTTACTTTGCTATCCTGCGCTATGCTTTTTTTTTCTTTGCTGTGTTTTCCCTTTTTCTACACCTTCCCTTTTTCTTTTCGTCTGCCCCCCCTCTTTGTGCGCATACGTGTGTCCTAGCGCCGTCGATAAAGGCCCTCTCTCCCCCGACTGAATTGCCTATGCGGAGGAGATAGCGAGGTCACAGCAGTTTGGTGGAAGGCTTCCCGGAGGATCCACGCGATCCCCACGTGGACGCATGCGCATGGTGGGGAGTTAGGTGATAGTCAGCGAGGCAAACGTGCAGCGGCACGTTCGAAGCGACACATGCGAAGCGGCCCACGTGCGAAGCAGCAACGTGTATATTCATGTGTATGGGCTGTTTTGGGGAAGCTTCCACCTCTCCTTCACACGAACAGAGTCAGTCAGCCATTCATGTCGTCCAAATTGTGGATCGGACAATACACGGGCGAGTTCAGCGATTGTTCTTTTTCTTTTTTTTCTCTTTCCTCACATTTGGACAAATGAGCGAAAAAGAGGCGGCGCAATAAATAATGCCCCCCTTTTTGTAAAGAGGTAAGGAACCAATGTTGGGTCAACCCTCACGAGGAGGGAGACAGTGAATTTATTTTTTTTAACCATGCTTCATCCCCACAGGGGAGGGGATCAGCAAAATAAAAAAAAAGAAAGGCAACCTTTTGAAATGCTTTAAATGTACCTACTAATAAAATTGGGGGAAATCATTAATACGATCAACGCCTCAAAACCCTGTTGTCATTTTTTTTTTTTTTAATTGACAGGTCTTTTCCAGTTCGGCCGCTTTTCCTTTGCGCTTATATGCGTTCGTTTGTTCATCGCCTGCCTGAGCGCAAGTCGGTCGCGCGGTGTTGCTACTCCATTTGGCTGCCCACCACATTGTCACTACTTCTTTTCCGCTTCTTCTCACCAAAACCTTCTTAAGGGTGATCCCTATTTGCAATTTTGCCCTCCCCTGCGGGTTGAGGCCTTTACTAAATCGTGTAAACTCTGCCCAGATGGCTTTTTCGCGAGGAGAAAAACCATGTCAAGAGGATTTGCTTTGTTTCAACGAACTTAATTCACACAGCTCCATCGGAAGACCTTGCGGATGACCCCCATATTTAAGAGGGGAGTGCGAGCTTGAATCCATCCCCTTTGTGAGTGACCCCAGCTGATCTCATAACAGAAGGCAAGGAATAACTATCGTGTCCTTTTTTTCTTGTTTTTTTTTTCCATTTTAAAAAAGACGAAGGCTCTCGGATTACGTTATGCTTCCCCTCTCCCCCGGGAGAATTCCCCCTTCGAGACACTGCTCCGCCGAATCACCCTGCAAACGTGGCCTAACCAAACCATATTATGCATGGACATCTTCATAGACGAAGAAATAAATCGTAGTGATGAAAACGAGGCGGTGCTCCTAGAGATTGATGATCTGTTGCCTTTTAAGAACGCTCCCCCGAAAAGGGGGAAGGGGAAAGAGAAGGTGGGAAAGGGGGAACATAGAAGAGGTGAAAAAAGGGAAGAAACAAGCTACAAACAAGATGGAAAAGAAGGTGGCACACAAAGTGGGAGACAAGGTAGCAGACAGAGTGGAAAACAAAGTAACAAGCATAATGGCCAGCCGAATAACAAATCTGAAATGAGGCGAGGCAGCCAAACGATGCGAGCAAACCAAACGAACCAAGCGGGGATGTACCCCCCGTGGGAAGACAGGAAGGTCAAAGCTCCGCATAGAGACAGACAGGACGTCACCGATGATGCGAATGAATGGTTAATAAAAAAAGAACACTTGAGCGCAGTTCAGCATGGAGACGACCTGGAGGACCATCTCACAGACCTTGAGGAGGAAGCTGATCCGCTGGCTGCAAAGCACGGGGGCCAACACGCTCAGTCGGGAGAAGCCAGGAGGAAATATAACCCATGCGGCAACTATCCCCTCATCTGCAACCTGTATGGAAGAGCAAAACGTTGCTATTCAGACATTGTAGATGGAGTGGCAGACAAGTTCAGTGGGAATATAAAGCACGGTGATGGTTTCTTTTACTACAAGAGTCACACGTCATCCGATTTTTTGCACATCCTTGCCAATCGTCTGTACTACTCCAGGGGTACCATGTATTTGTACTTCCTTGTGATTTTCCTTAACCTTTTTATCCTTGTCTACACTGCGTGCACAAAGATGGTCAGTCTGTTTGTGGTCATCTCGGAGATGTTTGTCATCCTCATGCTCGTGTTGGAGGTTTGTCTGCGCTTGGCCACGCAGGTAAGTAATCTTCTAGTGAATGTGCTGTGAGAGTGAGTCCTGACACGCAAGCGTAAGTGCGCCTTGGGGACGATGCCCGGGCATATTTTGCCCCCGCGTTGCACTTCCACGTACGGATACATGTTTGACGACTCCACACACAAATAGGAACACGTCTCACTGATGCTGCTCATTCTCCACACCAACAGGGTCGAAGCTACTTCCACAATTTCGAGGGTCTGTTCGACGTGACCGTGACGACCATGTGCTTCCTGCTGCTAATCAGCAGCGGCGACCTGAAGGTGTTTTCTCAGGCGGAGATAATCAAAACGAAGAACAAGGAAGTGGAGGAAATGATTTCGCAGAGCCTCACCGTTTTGCGCTTCTCTCTTCAGCTCTTCCGGACGCTCACCCTGTTTATGCACTACGAGCGGGTGAAGGTAGGCACGGAGCAGCGGCGTGCGTGGAACAGAGGCGGGCGCGGGGGCGTCTGCCTAATTTGCGCCCCCCTTTTCCGTCACTTCACCGCCACATCACCGCCACTTCCCTTCCCAACAGGCGCCAAGCGAGAACATTGACTTTTCGGTGCTAAACTTGCCCCACGAGGAGGAAGAGGAAGATGATTTTGTCATCTGACTGGGTGTGCATTTTTCCCCCAAACTCTCCCACAGCTTATAAAGAAGATAAAGGGTGGGAAAGGAAGAAAAAAAAGAAAAAAAATGGACACATTAAAATGGTGCGCAGAATCTGAGTAGCATCCCGCTGGTGGTTGAACGCCCATGGGAAAGGGGAGGCGCTAGGACAAGGAACAAATTTGAAAAAAAAAAAAAAAAAAAAAATCATAAATATTAGCAAACTTCAGAAATATTAGCGAGCTCAGAAAAATTAGTCATTTTAGAAAAATTAGCAATTTCAGAAAAATTAGCCAGTTCTGGAAAATTTCCCCAAACTGAGCAAACTAAACAAGTGGACAAAGGCAAACGCGTTAAACAAATGAAACAAACCCGGAAGAGGGACGGACAGTTTCTCCGATTATTACCCCCCTGAATACATGTACTACTTATGTGTATCCCCTTGTGGGCATGCTCCCCTCGCACACACTCCCCCTTTTTCTTTTTTTTTAAAATCTTCGTCGCTTTAAGTCCTGAAAGGACGAAGCGCCATCGTGGCCGCCGTGGAGCCCTCCCAGGCTATCTTCGTCCTGTTTTTTTTTATAGTCATATGAAAACGAATCGATCAAATCTAATTTTTTTTTTTTGTCATTTAAGACATCGACGTGATTCTCCCCCATGGTTTTCCTAATGTGGAATGTTTCTATGAAGGGGTCACCTGGGGGTGATTCCTGCGCACTTGGGCCTGTCCGTGCACCTCCGTTTGCATATTCCCCCGGGGTGCTCAAACGGGTGATGGTATCAATTCGGTTTGGACAAATTGTTCGTTCACTTGGCTTGGCCGCTTCGTGGGGGATCTGCATGGGTTGCGCTGTGTGACTCCCTCTGCACACCCCATCTTGGAAGGTATAGTTGGACAAGTCGAGGGGAGCTTGTCGTACCTTTTTCCTATCCACGAGCAAATGGTCTCGGTTGGCATCCAAGTGGTTATCCTTCGACTGGTTTGCCGCCAATTGGTTGGCCTCTTTTACAAATTTAAAATCGTCGTCGAAAAAATCCATCAGCCTGTTTTTGTCGTTTCCGCTAAAATGGTGCAGCGGGCTGGTCGCGTCCGCAGTGGTGCAAAAGGGGCTCAACGTGGTTTCCTTTGGTCTACGGTTTTTCTCGATGGCATCGCTGTGCGGGTGGTTTGTCTCACAGTCGAGGAGCGGCTTCACCCCTCCTATGAGCTCCCCAGTGGTATGGTTCCTTTCGCCGTGGGGGTGACAAGTTCCATTACCACTGATGCCCATTTTCATCTCCGTCTTGTCGCCACCATTAAAGTGTCTACTTCGGAAGGAGGACGTCTCTTCCTCCCCGTGCGCGCAGTGGCGGACAACTCCGGCGTCGGTAATGCCTTTGTGGGTAGCTCCTCCGTGGGTAACTCCGCTATGAACAACTTCTCCGTGGGGAATGCCCCCCTGGGGAATGCCGCTGTCGGCGAGACTATTGCCTATCCCCCCATCTGGATAAGGACCACTTCTTATCTCCCTCGAGGGGGCGCCCTGGAAGGAGGAGTCTTCCCCAAGCTTTCGCCCCTTGTGGTCATATTGAAAGGACGAAATTAGGTTGGAAAACTTGTTCAGACTGGACATGCTTCTATCGACGGGTTCAGTTGAACCCACATTTTGGCTAGCTGTGTTGAGATTTATATTCATATCTAAGTCGTGTAGCAGGCAAAAACCTCGGATGCCTGAAATGAGCTTTTCCAAAAAGGAGTTAGGACAAACGGGGGAAATATTATCAACGTGCTTTCTAATCAGGTGCACCGAGTTGAGTCGTTTGTGGCATATGTCTTTTAATGGCTTGTCCGATATTAACTGAAAGGGGGGGATGTTCTGTTGTCTGGCTTCTATGATTCTTGTCCTAAGTAAGATTTTCATAATAGAGTCATTTATTTTCTCTTCCGTTAGTTTTTCCTCCCTGTACTGATGTTCCCTGTGACATTGATTCTTGTCCGTGTTGAAGTATCCATATTTGTTATCCGGAATAGTGTTGTTCCTTTCGACGCTGGCTTTCTCTATCGGGTAAACTCCTTCGGCCTGGTGGGAGGAACTACGGTGGGTAGCTGTCAAGAGAGGGGAAAGGGGTTCTCCTTCCAACTGGTTTTCTTCCCTGCGTAGATTGTTTCTTCTTTCCCTGTGGGTGAAGTCCGTCCCGAAGGTGCCGCCTCTGTTCCGCTGACTAGCCCTCTCCTCATTTGTATAATCAAAGGGCTCATTTGCACTTCTGAATCCATTGGCCTTCTTCGCTCCTTTGACAGGCTTTTCCTTCTTCTCCCTGTCCATCAGAAAGAAGGGCAATCTGACGTTGTACCTTTGCTCAGAAGCGTTAATAAACTCCTCCCCCTTTGGCGTTACGCCTACACTGAGGTAGCTTACATCCTTACTATAGACTAACGTCTCCTTCACGTATTTGTCATTTCTTGCCACTTTCAGAAAAGCGGACCACCAGCTGGTGCTTTTGTGTGCACCATCGCCATATTCTTTAATGTTGTGGTAGCCTTTTTTAATTATGGATGCTTCTTTGCTTTTTACGAGCACTTTGCAGATGACTCCTACTCCGGTTCTTCCCTTAAGGGAGGAAATGCAGCTGAGTAACGTTTTCAGTTCCGTGGAGAGGTCTATTCCTTGGCCGGTGGGGACTGCGTGGGGGGTGCTGTTCCTCCTAGGAAGAGTAGCAGTCAGCCCATTACGCGAGTCCCTCTTCAGCAGAGAGGTTGAGTCTGTGCGGGATTGCCTCTTCGAGGGGCCTGCACTCACGTCGAGGGGGTTTATACCTCCCATGTTTGTTCCCCCGATGCTTGTTCCCCTGATCATCTTTTTGGTTGCCCCGCGAATCTCCCCCAAATAATAAGCACAATTGTCGCAGTTGGCACAAAGGTACATGTCGTACTTCTTCACATAAAAGCAGACGCCGCAGTTATCCTCGCAGTTGAAGACGTCCACATCGGTGCATGTCTCCGGCGTCTCATCAAAATAGTCATATATCTTTTTCCTCCGACAGATGGTGGAGTAAGCATAGTCGGATGCCTCCGTGAACATGCTTATGATATGCTCGACGCGTTGGAAGTTGGTTTCGATTAAGTTATTGGCAATGTTTTCTCTTAGGAGCAGATTTTTTATCTTCGATTCGTCATTTATGTGAAAGAAAAGAATAGCCTCCGCATTGCTGTTGTCTCGACCAGCCCTTCCCACCTGCTGCACGTAGGCCTCCAAAGACCGGGAAAAGCCATAGTGGACGATCCTCCTAATATCCGGTTTGTCGATGCCCATGCCAAATGCTACCGTCGCCACGATTATCTGCACTTCGTCCTTTAAAAACTTCTCATGTGCCTCCTTCTTCTCATCATTAGACAAATCCGCATGGTACATTCGGACGAGCAGTCCCTTCTCTCTCAGAAAGGAAAAGATACTCTCGCATTCCTTCTTCGAATTCACATAAATAAGGGTAGAATTGTAGGGGCATATTTTCGAGTTATCAATAAACCGCTTCGTTCTCTGCAAAGATTTGGTAGATGGGATGTCCAACACATCTCTCAGATCGTTAAGTAGATTTGTCTTCTCCCGAACGCAGTAGAAAAGGTTCCTCTTATTAACGCTACTCGTTTTGATAAGACATTTCTTCAAATCGAATTTTAGATTTTTTAGGATATCTCTTTGGACCTCTCCTGTGCACGTTGCTGTTAACCCCATAAAGGGGGTTCCCACTAAAACGTCCCTCAATTCGTGTAGTTTTCTGTACGAGGGTCTAAAGTCATGTCCCCACTCCGACATGCAGTGCACTTCGTCAATGGCTACCAGTAGGATCCTCCTCCTTAACATTAGAAAGAGCTGCTTATTATTCAGTGCATACTCTGGACTGCAATACACTATCTTGTACATGCCATGCTTCACCTGTGTTAACACTTGATCTTTACTTATCTTTTGTCCGCTTCCTAAAAAAATGGAGGAGATTCTCTTCCTATTCAGATTATCCACCTGATCTGTCATTAGAGATATAAGGGGTGATATTACCATGGTGAATTTGTTTTTGGCTTCTTCCATAAGGGAGGGGATCTGGTAGCATAGCGACTTCCCCATCCCCGTGGCCATCACGATTAAGCTGTCTCTCTTGTGGAATACTGCGTGCACCGCTTCGATTTGGAAACCCTTCAGATTTTTATAGCCGAAGTGCTTCTTCTGCGCCGCCTCCATCTTCGTCTTCAGCTCCTCCAGGGAGTAGCTTCCCGCCGCTTCACTCCCTTCCGACTGGTCCGTTTCCGACCCACTCGACCTCTTCACCTCCAGGTACTTCAGCATGGCGAGCAGCGTCCGCGGGGAGGTGAATCTGTGCGCTGTGAATGGACCCTTATGTAGGGGATCCTTTGGCCGGGTAGCCCCTTATCTAGGTAGCCACCCCTTCTACCTTTACCCCAGCGCGCTAAGCACACGTGCACTACACCCCAACGGTGGGACGAAGGGGCCTGCCAATTTTGACGGTCCCCTGAAGAGGAACCTCAAGCGAAGCCTTAGCCTCGTAGCGTTGTCCCCCAAGAGGAGTCCCGATTGGAAGGGAATCGAGCCGAAGGCTTCCTCCCGACAGCGCCCGCGCCAAGTGTGTGCGCTCGTACGGAGTCCACTTCGGATTTCACCCCCAGCGAAAAAAGGGGAAAAGAAGGAGGGAAAGAGGGTAAAGAAAATGCAGAGAAAAGAGGCAAATGAGGGGAAAAAATTACCCAGTGGAGTGCCACACACACAACTGACTTCTCCCTTTCTTCACAAAAATGTAGGCCCTTTGGTGCGCACTTTTTTTTCGATTTTTTTTTTTTTTATGTTCAGTTCAGCAATTGGCTCGGAAAAATGCACATCGCCCCCAGAGCCGCGACTCCATTAGCAGGAGAATATAACGTTGAGGATACTCAACCTATACACACATCTGCGCGGGCACACCCACGTATGCGCAATGTGCTAGAAGCACATCCGCTTCATACCCCGTCGCATAGTTCGTAGTAGCATAGAAGAAGGTTTTCCTTTTTTTTTTTTCTTTTTTTTTTTCCCCGACGCTGTTAAAATTCACAGAGAAAATGAACGAGCCAACTTTGTTTACTCCCTTCGAGGAGGGGGGAGAACCTCTTTTCCCCTGGGTCGATTTCTCTTTGGTTGGTTTTTTTCTTTCAAGTTGATGTAAGAAGAGAGAAAGAAGGGGGGGGGCGTATCCACGCCCAGACTCTACTGGGTAGTCCCCCCCTTCTTGAAGTCTCCCTAAACAGGAGATGGTAACCGGTTGGTGCCACCGGTAATTCTACGACGACACGCGGGGAAAGGCATGTTCAGCAGGTAAGCCTGTTGGGCAGATAGGCCTCTTCAGCAGATAGGCACACTATGCTGAGACGCTTTCAAGTGCACATACAGGAGCCCGAACGAAGCACAACGTCAAAAAGGGGGAGTTCCTTTTCCAAATGGGACAACGGATTAAAACAAGACAGGTTCCTCTGCATGGGCGAAAGAGGGTGGCCGTGCCGAGGCAGTTCTCTTCTGGTCATCTTCACTGCGAAGCGGCGGGTGCAACAGGCCGCGTCACTGCGTCTCCATACTGAGGCCCGTTTGAACCAGCGTGATTTTGTCTCCCAGGCTGAGGGCGATTCCCTGGAAAGGGGGGGAGAAGGAAGAAATGAGAGGTGGCGAGAAGGGGAGTGATGCGATGGGGTGCCGCGACGAGGTGCCGCGATCGGATGGTCTATCTCTTAGATGATCGTTTTGCTGATCGCTTGACCGATTGACCAATTGACCGGTGGACAGCTTGGACGCTTTGCGCTTTCCCCACCTGAGTGCGGCTGCGCACGCGGATGCTCCCCGAGAGGCGGCCATCGGGGTTCTTCTGCACGGAGAGGTTCGCCAGGGAGTCCTCGCCGAAGATGCTACGCGAAAATAAGTTGACCGCAAAGAAAGCTGAATTGTTCACGAGGCACTTCAGATCCTCCAGGCTCGAAATGTATGATATATAAATATCGATGGGGGAGACGTTGGTTTGCTCTGGAATGTTCTTGGCTTCCTTCTCGTAGTACTCCAGCGGCATGAACTTCTCCACGATGGTCATGTTAGTGTGCTTAATGATGAGCTTGAGCAGTTCGAAGGCGTCTCTGCAGAGGGGGGGGAGAAAAAGTTTGGAGCAAAGTGTGGCGCAGAGGTGTGCAGCGTCATTATGTGGAGAGGCGGCGGGGGTAACCCATACCCGGTAGGCAACGGTAACCGATACCCGCCGGTAAACGCTTCCCATCTCTACTCGCCGCTCCCCACCTGATGGGCGTGTTAATGTTGATCTTGTTCTCCCACTCGAATTCAGACCACATGATGCGGAAGAGGTGGGACGAAATGAACGACACGTTGATGTAATCCGTCATATTTATGTTGAGCTCGCTAAGGACGATGTAATTCTTCCTATTTTCATTCTTGCGCTCATAAAACACATAACCGAAGATGATGCCCGTCTCCGTCGTGTGTACCTTCACGGTGATCTTAAACTTCCTCTTTTCATTTGGACCTAAGTTAAACTCGGGGATCTTATCGATGGGCTTCAAATTCCCATGAGTCGACAAGCCGATGAAAATATTCTGCAAGTAGGCACCCGATTGGTTATAGACATACAACTCTACGATAAGGTTAATATTGGATACGATCGGGACGGCCTCAATAAAGAGATCGTCATCGGTCCCTGTTAGCTTTTGCGAGCTGTACAGCTTGGCCATGAAAAGGGAGGAATAGCTGTGCTTAAACGATGGGAATCTGAATTCGTTTTCCTCAAAAAGGATGTCGTTACTCAGGGTGTACTTCAATTTGAGTTTCTCCAATTTCTCATCCATCAGAGCAGATCTTTCGTCCATCATAGCAGATTTGTCGTCTATTAGCAAAGCCCTTTCGTCCAGAATATTCAGGACATTTTTTTTCTCCTTCAAAATGCGGAAGTATATTTCGTCATCCACGTTCTGCTTGTTTTCATTCGGTTGGGTTGGAGGCACGGTGGTCACTCCTCCTTTGGACTTGTCCATGGATTGTTCGGCGAGGTTGTTTCCTCCCTTGGCGTCCAGCCCGAGGGGGGAAGAAACTCCTGTGTCGATTACTCCTGTTTGGGCTCCTCCCTGGCGGTAACTGGTGCTGTAAATGCTGCTGTACTTTTCCTCCTCCTTGTGAAGGAACTTCTGATAATACTCATTCCCACTGAGGAACGTCACGATGAGATTCTTCGTCGATTCCTCCATTGTCCTCATATTGCACGTGATATTGAGAAATATTTTGAGGCACTGGCTAACCCTAACGACGTTGCTGTCGTTGTAGTGCACATCAAGGGAGCTCTTGTTTGCGTTTTTCTGCGCCAGGTACTTCACCATACTGGCGAGGATGTAGATGCCTTTGTTCCTGAACGTGTTAGCGGCGTGGTTAGCGTTTCCGTCAGCCTCTGCGCTTGCGTCACCGTTTTTGGCGGCGTCTCCGTCTGCTTCTACCCTTCCCTTTTCTGAGCCGCTTCCCACGCGAGGGCTGCCAAACGGGGGGCCCAAAAAGCGGAAGGCCTCTCCACCTACTGTGGCCACCAATTTTAAATACAACTTAGTAACACACACGCATAGAACGGACAGCAACAGATCGTCATTATTAGAAAGTAAATTGTAAGCGAAGGAGTTTAGCTCTCCTGGGGTGTCATCCCCAGGGGATGCACTCTGATTTTTCCACACTGCCTCTGTGGCGTACGTCCCGTCTTCCAACACCACCGTCTTCGCTTGAATAGCAGGAGACGCAGATGAAGAACTCGCGTTAAAATTTACCACCATTTTGTTCTTCTTAAATTTCTCACTCTGTAAGCTGGTAATAATATCTGACTGGATGTTACTGCCAAGAAGGGGGAGCAGATGCTCATACAACTTATCGAGAAATTTCAAAATGACTTCTTCTCCATGCATGTACTGTCCTAGGACCCAAAAGAAGATCCTCAGGATGTGTGGCTTCTTCACGTCAAATATAGCGTCGACGATTTTTTGCAAGATGATACTCTGCAGGGAGGGATTATTCGCTAGCTTCCTAATACATACCGCCGCTTCGTAATTTATCTCCTTCTCTTCATCATTCACGTAGGTTAGAAGCAAGTCCACCATGCTGAGGCACTCGTTGGAGAACATATTGCATATGTGTTGCATCGATTTGAGCAGTATTTTCTTATAACCAATGACCTCTTGGTAGTTCGTGGAGAGGTTATTACCGACCGTGTTTGTCTCTGTTGCGCTTCTCATAGCCGTGTTGGGAACCCCATTTGGGGATGCGGGTCCGCCATTCGCGCCTGCACTGGAGGAACCTACCACCGCGTTGCTGTTTCCACCTGCACTGGGGAAAACATTCTTGCTATACATTACCGTGTTGTTCAGCTTAAGAAGCTCCTTCTTCAGCACACCCAACACTAAGTGCACATTTCGACTGCTCAATATGTGTAGAACTAGGTTTAAAATTTTGACTCTTATATCTCTGGAGGGGAAGTTCAATGCCCTCAGTAAATCCATGACGTAGTTTTCCAGCACCTTCTTCCACTTACACATGATATAATATAGCCTATCGATTACAATCAGTTTGATGTTGTTGTCGTGCTGGTTAATTAGAAGCTTTATAAAGCACTCGCTTGCTGTTTTTATGCTGATCTCGGAGGTGCTCATATAAAGCAAACAGCAGGCACCCTCATACAACACACTATTGCTGACGTTCTTGCTCATCATGTTAAGGAGAATCTTAATGACATTGTTCTTGTATTGATTATAATCGCTTTCGTTTAGCTTGTTCTTCCTAAATTGTATTTCTTCACTCAGCACGTTTAGCATTCCTCCGTTTGTTTCACTCAGCTGATTGGTCGCTCCGAGGGGGGTACTCACACTAAGTAAGTGACTTCCAATTTTTTGCTCCACTGCAGTGACATGCTTGCTTCTCTTCCCCATGGGTAGTTCTCCCTGCTGAAGGGGGTTCTCCTCTCCGGAGAGTAAATAGGCGAAGAGGTCGATATCTCCATTGGATAGGTACCCATCTTGTTTCTCTTCTTCTGCTTCGTTTGATTCTTCTGCTTCTTGTCCCCCCTGGGGGGGAGATCCGCTTATGGAGGCAACCCCACTGCGGACCCGCCTGTCCTCCTCGTTCTCTTCATCCTCGTCATTTATCAACAAATACGAATCGTCAAACACGTGGGGAATATACAGCTTCTTAAATAGGTGAATCACCTCAAGCAGAATAACATCGGCAGTATCGTAGAGCTGATCGTTTAGGGAGAGAATATACTTCAGTGTAGTCATCGGGTCGACATCAATCAGCATGGAGAGTGCACTACGTTTGGTCGATATGTCATTTTCTAAAAATAATATTTTTTCCACTTCTTTAACCGAGTTAGGGATCACATCACTTCCATGCTCCTTTATAATGGTGTGGATACAACTGATAGCATTCTTCCTAACATAGCTGTGTCGATGGCTTAGATTCTTGGTAATGGCTTCTATCAAAGGATCGATGATTTTAAGGTTCTTAATTTTGCTCAGTAATCTAAGAGTGGACCCCCTGACGTACTCATTTGGTGAAATGATGTCATTCCTCAAGGCATTACACACGAGAAGCATTTCTTCCTTTAAGCTCCCATCACTGTTACATTTGTCTACCACCTCAAAGAAAATGTGACTCAACTTTTTTAATCGATGGTCCTTATGGGGTACTATGAACCTGATGACACACATGAGCATATTTCCATATGGCTCCCCTTGTATGATGTTAAATATGAGGTGTTCCATGCCTTCTATCTTTTTCTCCACATTTTGGCTTTCTAACTTCTTCTGGATTTCGCTGATGGACGCCGTTTCGCAGTTGTCTGTACAGATGTACAGCGTGCAGTTGTTCTCGATCTCAGTGTTTCCCATTGTGGGGGGTGGCGGCGGTGGCGTAAAGTGGAGTGACGTGGTGTAGGGCAAATGCAACGCGACGGCTGACCTCTACACGGGCGCTACACATGCAGAGCTACACACCGCTATGCACCTGCATTCCCCTCGATAGGTGTGCGGGCGAAAAGGAGGGAAAAAAAAGAAAAAAAAAAACGCACACCTATGTGCTTAAGATGTACATAATATGTGCATGTATATACCCGTGCAGAGCAAGACCGCGCGAAGCAAACTTCCTCGCGGAGGCAGACAAAACGGGCCGCTAACAACCCCCAGCAAAGGGGGCATCAGATGGGGACAACACAAGCGATTTGGCGACGACGTGATGGGAAGACGACGCGATGAGGAGACGACGCGATGAACAGACGGGGCGTCATTAAGTCGAGGAAAAACGCTACATCGTCACGCGGACTGGAAAATCAAACGGGCCCCGCTCTTCCTCGCAATCTGCGAAATTTCTTGTTGATGGGAAAAAAGAAAAAAAAACGTAACCCTAAGGTGGCTCCCCCCCTCTCAAATGCTCTAGCAAGCATTGCTCACATTTAAAGGGGTGTCAAAGGTGGAGGGGGCGCCAGCAGGAAAAATGCGCAGAAGGCGGCAGTGAGGGGAAAATAACCTCACGAAGTTCTCATTGCCACTTTAGAGGGGCAAAAGCACCATTTATTTCTGTTCTTAACAAAGGTTTCCCGGCAAATTGGGGAATACGGTTGGTATGTAAAAGTAAAAAAAAAAAAAAAAGAAAAAAAAAAAGGGTAACCACGATGACGACAAGAGAACAGCCACGCGGTTGGCTCGATGACACATCAGAAATGAGTCACCCTCAAAGTGGGGCGAATAAACTTGTTTTACTGCTCATTTGCGAGTGCGTCACTAGGCGAACCGCCAAGGGGAAGCGCGCTTCGCCTCGTCGCACTCTGTAATGTGAACCGCCGGGTGGGCCAAAAGGGGCGAGCCCTGAGCGAATGTGGGGGTATGCCACTGCGACCCGCCGAGAAAAAAAAAAAGTTAACCTGTTAAACTATGACATTACTTCTCGGAAACGTCCCCCCTCGGTATCGTCATCACTCCATTTCGCCTGGTAGCTACACCACAGGCAGAAGCCCAACCCCGGAGCCTGCAAAAGTGTACGCATGTAAGTATGTACAAAAGTAGGCATGTACGAAAGTAGGCATGTACGAAAGTAGGCATGTACGAAAGTAGGCATCTACGAATGTAAGCCTTTACCAATGTAAGCTTGTACACATGTGCTATGCATACCCAAAGACTTGGCGTGGAATCACGATCATCCGTGAAATGATGTTCCCCTGTTGTGGCTGGAAGATATCCCAAGTCCCCCACTGTGTGGCAGTCTAAGTTCGCACCGGAGAATGTGCGCTTGGCACACCCCCAATTGCAAATCGACCTCAGCAGACTTTGCCTGAGAGGTTCCCGCCCTCGATTAGGAACCGCGGAACTTAGTGAATGTGCCAGCATGTTCACTCCACTTTTAATGTTTACCAAAATGCGTGGAGGAACAACATCTGCAGAGTTGTGCATCTGTCCTTTGGTATGCTGATGATCAAGCAAATCTGAAATGTTTTTTTTTTTTTTTTTTCCTACCAAATGGCTAGCTGGCGCGAGTAAGGGACACGACGAATGTGTAGCTATGGAAACCATTTTCATGTTAATTCTACAGAAATGTAGCCACACCTTTGGGTCAATTTCCACACCAAACTGAGGACTTCCGCGAGTGAGGCATTCCACCTGCATACGTTTAGATACATAGAGGGAGAAATATCTATAACTAGAGTGAGCGACCCCCTTTTCTCCCCTCGTCCAGACGAGTGCAATTTTGGGTGATCCATACAGACACACCTCCCCCTTTTTTTTTGCCGTGAACATGATAAGAAGGTGCAGAGCGGTGAGCAGCCTGACGCTGAAGAGGTGGCTGTTCGTCGGCTCCCCCCCCGGGTGCAAAGGGTATATTCGCACAGCAGGAAACTGGGTGGAAGGAAACAGCGCGGAAGCAATCCAAAGAAATCACCGCCAGGACGCTGAAATGGAACCAAAGCTGAGCAAACACTTCCGGGAAGTGTTCCATGATGGGTCGGAAAAGAACTTCGAATGTCACCCATTTAACAGAAGATTCGCGTACAGCAAGAAAAGCTTTTTCCCCATCGAGCCCCGCAATCTGCGAACCCTGGGCGTGAACAGACAGAGGAAGAAAAAGAGGGGCAGAGGTGATAAGGGTCCAGGAAAAGGGATTCGAGAAAAACACAAACATAGGAAGTCAGGCAGACCAAACAGTCGTACATTTGAAAGTGGACGGACCCCTTTGTATAGGAGGTTGCCAAAATGGCCCGAGGCATGGCTAAGTAGGCAAAAAAAGAACTATGACTGTCTTAACCTTTCCAAGCTGAGGTACTTTATTGAGAAGGGAAGATTGGATGTGCGATTCCCAATCACGCAGAGACATTTGCATGACTCCAAGTGTGTAAAAGTGAAAAATGGAGTGAAGCTGTTTAACGTGAATGATTATCCTTTCCCTTACAAGATCGACATCGAAGTGGCCAATGCAGATCAGTCCTCCATCGATGTCATTAAAAAAGTCGGAGGGACAGTAACCATTATCTACATGGAACGGATAAATCTCAGGGCCCACATCAAGCCCTACAAATTTGAAGTTCTGCCCAGAACAGCTAGACCCAATCTCGACATGATTCACTTTTTGGAGAAAATGAGGAGTAGGGGGTGCCTCGTTAAGTATATAAAGCCCTTGTGGATGATTGAGGAAGAGAAGCGAATCATCAATGAGCTCACCGAGGTGGAGGAGAGCTCCAAGCTGTGCCCCGAGGGGGCGAACTCCTGGGGGGACGCCGAAGACGAGGAGAAGCGACGCGAGAGGTTGCTCCGCGGCTACCGCCTGCAGAACACGCGCGTAGACGGGGGCATTGATGCGTAGTAGCGTAGGGAGTAGTAGTTAGGGGGCAATACTTCAGGGCGAAGTAGTTCAGTGCTATTGTCCAGTGCCATCCTCCACCACTGCCCAATTTACAACTTTTTTTGTCTGCCCTTTTTCAAGTTGGTAACTACAAGGGGAGTATCTTTTCTGCAAAAGGGGGAAAGTTCAAAGTGGAAAAATGAGAGGGCCCTTCACCAAGGCTAACAAACGAGAGGGTCAATCAAACATAAAGAGTATGTCCCACAAAACAATTTCCGCACAGACGCTAACTCGCGAAGGCGTCTGCGGACAAATGCGTCATATGCTGACGCACGAATGGGAAGGCGACCTCCCAGCTTAGCGACGCTGCCTTATGCCAGGGTTCTTCCGCTGGCCGTCCTCCAGCACGGATGATTTCTCCGGTGTGTCAGCGTTCCCGTCAGTGGTGACATCACTGGATGACATTAGGTGTTCCCCCCCAAAACTGTCGCTGTGCTTTACTATGTCCCCCTGTCTCTGTGCCACCTTCTGAGTGCACTTGTTCAGCGTGCCCTTCAGCACCATGACGGCTTCATATTCCTCATCGCTCTTCTTAACCTTCTCCCGATAATACAAAATTAAATAGGTGAAGCGAATGTAGAATACCCATGCAATTGAGCAGAGTAGCAGGATCCAGAAGTTCCTCTGCAGTCGCATCTTTTTGAGGTACGCTCTGTGCATGCTGGGGACATGGAGCGAAGGGTCCAAACTGTGCTTCTCATCGTTGTGGTTTTTCAGCTCCAAGATGGTAAAGGCCAAGCGTAGCAACGCATAGAACGAAATTAGGGATGACACTGATACGTTCACATGGTATTTGTAGATCTGGAAATTGACGCTCCTTTTCTGGATGGATATTGCCATACGCTGGAAGAGGGCCACGCCACTCAGCAGCAGGCATGACAGCCCGATGCCCGCAGGCAGGAAGAAAAATGCAATGTCCTTCATTCCTGGGCCTGGGGAAAAGGCGCAAGGGGGCAAGGGGGCAAGCGGTCACCGCGTGATGTCCTTGCCGAGGGGAAAGATAATTAAAAAATGAAAAAAAAAAAAAAAACCTCCAATGCAAATCTTCACCCATGAAGTCAGGTCAGATCAGTCTAGGTAACTTCAGTGCAGGTCAGCGTCAAACTGATTTTCCCTCACCAAAAGGGATGATTACGTACGTGTGGGCAAGCCTCGCACGCGTCCCTCTCTGACGGGCGTATCTTCAACAGGGGAAAGATGTATCCCTGTGCAACTGGGGGGGCTGAACGCATTTGATTTGGGGCCAACTTTCCACGCGGAGCGCTGGTCATTGTTTTGCCTTTAATAGGGGAGAACTGTTCCTTCGGGGACGTTATTCACGTTATCGACGTGCACGACGTTCACGACATTCGCGACATTGATTTGCTTTTTGGCTCCTACTGGCGGGCTACGTTAGTGTGTTAATTTAATTTATTTTAATTTATTTTTTTTTTTTTTTGATCGGGCAGGTCGCCACGCGGAAGACGTTGCCCAAGAGCCAAACTCGGCACTGCCAAGTTAGTGGAACGCGCGGGATCAAATTTGATAGACCCGTCCCATTGCTCAAATGGAAGCTTAAAGAAGAAAAGAAAAGCGAAGAAGGATTGACGTTCTCTCCGCTTTTCATTTTGGCATCGCCATAGTGGCCACGTTATCGATGGAGGTTAGCAAAATTGCCTGACGGGATTTTACCTCTCCCCCAATACACACTCGCTTCACCCCAGAGAGGGGCTTTCATACATTAAAGGGAAAAAAGGCGCAACTGCACATCTAGACTCATCATATTGGATGTTCTCGTGAGGTAGAGAGCACCTCTTTTGCGTATCTCTTCCCTAATTGAAACAAATTAACAGGCGCGATCTCCTGAAGAGTCCGCGTGGACAAGGATTTTCATTTGGGTTTGAAAATATGGGAAGCAAACAAATGGAGCGGCAAAAATGGCGGAAGGAGAAATTGGCCAAGTTCGCACCTCGGAAGTAAAGTGAGCACAAACGAGGGGGCGGACAAAAAGAAAACAAAATAAAGCAAAATAAGACAAAATGAGGCAAAATAAAGCAGAATAGAACAAAATAAAACAAAATAAAGCAAGATAAAATAACGAAATGGTAAAACAAGACAACTCCAAGTAAGAGCCACCCCATCGCGTTTCCACCTCTTCACCTTTTCACCTCTTCACCTTTTCACCTCTTCACGTCTTTACCCCTCTGCGCAAGGCCCCCCAGATCAGCAGCAAAAGCGCAAGTCGGACTCGTAACGCTGAGCTATTCCGTCCTGCCCAGGAACGACCTCCGGCACGGTCTCCGTGTTGTAGTTCATTTCGACTCCCCGGTACTCTCGGGACGCGTTCTCCACTAAAGTCTCCAAAAAGTATCTGCACATGGGTGACCTTTCGTCAAAGGTGGTTATGAATTTCTTCTGTTCTTCCACTGGGATGGGTAGAGACGGGTCGACGAGGGGGTGGCAGGTTAAGAGGACTTGACTTGACCCGGGCGACCCCTCAATGGAAGCCGATGGGTCAGGCCCGCCGCATTGGTCGGAAGTGCCACGTCTGACATCAGTGTCGCATTCAGCAGCTGTGCCGCATTCAACAGGAGTGCCATTTTGGACAGCCCCGTTTGGCACATCAGCCAGGCTGGGGGCCCCCCAGCCGAGGGACCACAGCCGGTACTTGCCCCCGGCCAGGCCGTCCAGCGCACGGCGCACAGACGGCACAGCCAGCAGGTGGAAAAACTCAAAGAGGTAGCCGCACTGCCAGTCCATATATCCATATGCAATAAAAAACTCACAGGGGTTTATAATCTTCTTCGAAAAATCAGGTAATTCAAGGAAGCTCTTCTCAGGGCAAGACAAAAGAATATACATTTCTATGTCGGAGAAATTTTCCAGCTTAGGACCATTCAATTTGTTCGTAGCGATAGTGAAGCACTTCTTCCCCCTCGATCGTAAAATATAACTTAAGCTTCTTTTCATTTCTCGATTTTTTTGTAAGTTTACGTTGGCTATTAAAATGCCAAACGTATCTACCAGCTTGCACTTTTCTATGAGGCTGTATCTTTTGAGTAATAGTTTATCCAGATCTTTTTTTTTTTCAAAATGGGAAATTTCATTGGTTCCGTTTGCTCCGACATGTTTTTTTTCCTCCTCCTTCTCCTCGTATATATGCACACTCTCAGGGTAACATCCATATTCTAGAATACACCTACGCTTTAGATTTAGATTCCCGTTTGTAAAAAGAAACAAATTGGGTCTTTCTTCTTTCCCCCTGGTTAGGATGGTCCCCCACGGAGGGGACATCTCCTCTTTCCGTATCACTTCATAAATCAATGTACCCAGTCTGTCGCTACACAGAACTCTTATGAGCAGCCTACCACAGAAGAAGGCATACTTCCTCTCGAGGTCTTCGTGCGCGTCCAACTCGACATAGTTACGGTGATCCCCGTAGCAGTTTTTGCCTTGCATTTTGCTGGCTATTCTGTGCAGGCACGCGATTATGTTGGTGTTTACCGCGTCGGTGTGCAGTGCATCCCCGTTTACCGCATCGGTGTTTATCTCATCGGTGTTTATCGATTCCGCGCTTACCGCATCAGTGTTTACGCCATCCGTGTTTATGGCACCCGTCTTTACCGCCTCCCTGTTTACCCCATCCGTGCCACTCCGCAGGAAGGACTTTCCTCCCACGAGTCGGCCGTCCACCAGGTAAAGCGGCTTCTTCATTCGGTTCCCCCAGTCTGCTCCTCCCCCTCTTGCACCACCGCCGACCTCCACAAAGGCGTTCACCAAGTGGGACATGCACCCCGTGTAGGCCACGTCGCACAAAATGATGCACACTTCATCCCTGTAGGGAAGGTTACTCTGTATGAACCCCTCTTTAACTTTTTTGTAAAAGGCTTCCTCCTGTTTTATTTCACTAAAGAGGTGGACTGAAGGGATGGAGGACGCTATGAACGACTGACACGACGGTCCATAATGCAGAAGAAGATCTGCCTGCACATGTTCGGCACTTACGTAGTCTTCGCAACATTCGTTCAGCGATGTGTCTCCTAAAATGTAAATGTTGACTCCATCGGGGGGGCTTCCAACTGGATTGTCTTCCTTCCCACAGTTATGTTCCCCTTCTGTGCGGGATTTTCCCCCACAACATGGGGTGATAATCCCCGTTGGTTCGTAAGTGGGAGGGTGAGATGGCTTTCCTTTCTGGAGCTCCCTCTGGATGGCATGCGAAAGGAGAAGCGAATCCTCCAGCATGCAATCAGGCAACTGGATTGCCACACGTCGGTAATTATTTTTCGAAATGATCCCCGCGGCTAATTCGACTTTGTACGTAGCGTAGATGTCGCTACTGTGGGGAGACGCCATGGTTTTGCCACCGGCGGGGGAAAAAAAAGGGGGAGAGAGCAAGAGCAAGCGGAGTGAACTAACTAAACAGGTCGAACGTCGTGACGTTTGGACTGGCAAGGAGAAAAACTTGGAAGATAAAAATGTCGTAACTGCCAAAGAAGCGGCGAAGAATCGCCAAAGAGCCGCTAACGATGCGTCCCCTTTTGCCGCTCCGCAGAAATGGGTGATCCACTGGGTGACGGAAAACGCCCCGCTGCAGCGTAGAAGCTTCTGTGCTATCCTCCTCAATGAGCGAACGGCGGAGAATTGACCTTAACGTAGGCGCAAAAAAAAAAGAGGCACGATAAAAAACGGCGCGATAAAATAACAGCGCGATAAAATAACAGCGCGATAAAATAACAGCGCGATAAAGGACGGCGCAATAAAAAAGAGAAAGCATTGCGTGAAATCACACGTTACACCAAAGCCGACCCAGGGGCGTTGTGGGCGCATCAAATGGGTGGAGAAAAATATATCGACTTCACTTCCCTGCCCTTCCACTTGCCGCCCCCCCCCTCACAACAGGTGCTGCTTAAAATACTCATAAATGGTTATCGCCGCGGAGACGTGGACGTTTAACGAGCGAATGATGCCCTTGCCGGGGATTTCAATGCAGTGGTCAAGAAAGAGTAGAACGGACGAAGGCAAGCCCTCCTTCTCGTCGCCCAAAATTAAAATCGTCTTCTCGGGGAAGGAAAACCTATTCAGGGGGACACTACACTTGGTCTGCTCCAAACCCACAATGGCATACTTCTTCTTCTTATCCATTAAGTACTTCAGCAAGTCACCCTTTTTCACCTCCCCTATTTTCATCCACTTATTTGCTGTGGAAGAGATTTTCTGAAATTGAAAATCCTTCACAATATTGGCATTATGAAGAATCAACTTCTGCGCTTTGAAAATCTCACATGTTCTACAGAGCCCAGCTAAGTTTGGGATTTTATCAATCAGAGATGCTACGACGATTAATTTTTTGTTTGTCTTCGTTTTGGCTAGCTGGTGATAGGTCCTTCTAAATTCATTGTTTACTTGAATGATGTCACTGATTGGGTCGAATTTCTTCTGGTAGTTGTTCTGGTTTCTGTGGGGTATAGCTTCCATGGGGGTCACAGCGTAGGCTGCTTCGCGGCAAGTCTTCTCGTCGTAATGTGCTTCGCCATAGGCCGCCCCTCCCAACTGTGCCTCCCTGCGCTGGCGCTCCAAGTCCACGTTAAACATGATGGAAGACATCTCCTGCTGCACCGCCCTCCTCACCGTGTGGATGAAGCTATACGAAGCGACCAACTCGTAATTCCTAAGCACATGAGCAAACGTCTGTGTGCTCTCCTCATTAAAATCGTCGTCGAAGTAATTGTAGGAGTAGTTGCACGCAGGTAGCAGAATCCGGATATCGTCAAAGGGTGTTGGGGTCCAATGGCGAAACTGCTCCTTCATCTTTTTGCGGATCCGTTTGCAATCCTTATTGTGTTTAATATACGAGTATGTGCATTTGAAAAATGGGTCGACTAAAATTTCTTTCCTCCCCTTTACGAAGTAGTAGAAAGTGTACTGGGCGATGCTCCTCACCAGCGCCGCATGGGAAGAGCAGAGAGCCACAATTCGAGTTATCAGCGCGACGAGGCATTTGCGGATGTACTCGGAGAAGAAGTAGCTGCGTCGCGGGGGGGCTATCCTCTTCCCATGGGGAGTCCTCTGTCCGGATAGTTTTCCCGCATGAGGAGTTCGCCGTTCGGTTTCTTTTCTCCTATGGGGTGTCCTCTGTTCTGTTTGTTTTCCTCCATAGGTAGTCCTCTGTTCTGTTTTTCTTCCCCCATGGTGAGACTTCCCCACCCCTGTTTGGTTCCCCCCCGTGTGCCTGCCCAGCTGTGCCAACTTCCGCTTACACCTTTGGACATCCTGCACAATTTTGTCCTTATCATTTAGGTTCTTCTTAACGATGCTGTTGATGATTCGTTTGATTTGTCTCGTGTCCTCCTTAGAGCGTCTCTTCTTTTTGTTCTTCATCCCCAGGTGGGGAGCCTCCATCTGTGCAGCTGCCACTGGGCTCATCCGAAATTTGACACTCGAAAGACACACACGAGCGAAGGACGGACTGACATGCAATTCCTCAAAGGAGTAGTAACTGAACTTTGTCTTGAGTAAAATATATGAACATATGATGAGTGTGCTGACGATTAGCTGCGTGTTTGTGTTTCCATCCGCTAGGTTTCTCCTTAAATGTGGATACAGCAAAACAAAGGAAGAGGAACTAACGGCGAGACAGAATAGCTCCAAATACTGACGTGTGTTACTTAAGTGATCGTCGTGAAGAAGTTGGTTCACCTTTGAAATGAGCAGCTTCCTTTGTGTCTTCTTTAAATATTTGAAGTATTTTGCCAGGCAGCACAGGGCTTGTAGTCCCCTCAGCTGGGTGTTGTGTCCGCTGGAGGATGGTAGTGGGGGGGCCGAAGGCGTCGAGGACGGGTGGACCCCCGTTGGAACTGCTCCAGACGACGTGACGTTCTTGTTGCTTATTCGATTCATAATTTGAAGAAGCAGGCGCGCGTACAGCCTCCGAACGAGGGTCCTCCGCTCCTGCCTCTGCAGCGTGGCCCTCGTGTGCACCTCACCGCTTTTACCGCCACCGCCGCCTCCATCTGGGCGGGCGAGGCAGCGCCCCTCGAGCAAGCGAAACAAGTTGATGAGGAACATGAGGGCCAGCAGCCGGAGGAAGATCGGCATGTGTCGTACGCGGTAAAGGTCTTCCGGAAGAAGAACCTCCTGGTTGTTTTCATATCTGGACAGAAAATAAAAACATATTTGTTCATTCAGGAAGTGGTGGAGAAGGATGTTCCCCCTCTTCATCTTGTAGTGATCGTTTACAAAGCTCCTTTTTGAATCAACTAAAACGAATTCTTTGCAGATTAAAATGTCGACAATGACTTGGACAAATTTGTCGAGGTAATCGCTGCTCACTTGGATCATGTCCTCATTTTGGATAAGTGAAAAAATGAATGACGAGAGGAAAGGGATCACAGCGCTTCTTACTATGGAGAGCTTCGTCTGTCCATACTGCAGAATTTTCTGTATATAGTTCAGGAGGAGAAAGGGGGGCCCCTCGCCCGTTTGATGGGCAGCCCAGTTGTCTTGGTTAGTGGTAGGGTCTCTACATTTTGCGCCATAGTCGTCACTGTTACGTTCTGTGTCGCTTCCCCTCGCTGCTCCTTCGCCACGCCTCCCCACCAGCTCTGCATGCAAAGCCATGTCGTGCTTAACAATAAGCGGGTGGAATAGCGTTATGAACAGCAGCTCCAAAATGCGAGCCGGGTATTTACACGCGCAACACCGATCAATCAGAATATCGCTTTGCTTCAACAGTAGGGTTAGGATGTATGTCCTTTCGTCTGTTTCTATGGGGAAGCCACCCCCAGGGTCGTTTCCCAAAATGGTGTGGTCCCCCCTAAAGGTGTAATCCCTTCCAGTGGCGGTATCTCCAAAAACGGCCGGGATGACGAACCGCCTGATGATCATATATACATACACGAGCTCTCCCTTGCACAACTCGATGTCACTAATAACTTTCTCCGCGAAGGGGAGGACGTGCCCCCCGAAGACGCAAGCAATCTGTACAGGCGTCCTGCATATGCTCTTGTAGGCATATTTGTACTTGTAGTAATTAAACACTTCGCAGTGTTTGTTCCCGTAGCGTTTTTCACTTCCGTCTTTGTTCCTCTCCTTCCCTTCGCTCTTCCCCGCTGTGGATACCCCGCGACTCGTTTGGTCCAGCTGCAGATGGATGATCATCTCGCTCGGGACTGCTTCCACTGGGGGCGAGAACAGCCCACAGGTGTTCGCTAAGAAGGAGACGGCTAAAATGATTTTAGTGGCATCTTCCTGAGTTGCCTTTTCGGCAAAATTTACGACGTACTGGACACACTGGTCGTGTAGTGCCCTTGTTTCGAGGTGGAAGCGACCTTTTGGCTGCACCAATTTGTGGTTGCTCGGAAGGGGAAAGTGTCCCTTCTGCTTCATTGTTCCACTGTGCAGTTTGTTAATGGACGATGCCCCTCTATCCATTTCAATATCTTCGTCTCGATGGTAATAATCAATACACTCTGTGCACGTGTTGATGCTGTTGGGCAGTACATACTCAAGGGCATCCACAAACGGGAGGAGCTCCTTCAGGGGGATGTCCTCCTGCTGCGTGTTCTCATGCGGATGCTGCTCCTTCTCTCCATCCCATTCACACGGAGAGTCCACCCCTTCACTGAGGAGGTACCTTCCAGTCCTCGCAAGAAGCTCCCTCATTACAATGTCCAAACTGGCTTCATCAAACAGGCTGCCTACCCCATACTTGAGCACATAAAAAAGGAATCGATTCACTAGTTCGTTTATCTGTTCTCCATTTGGACACATCAGGACGAGGCTGCCATTCTTCAGATGTGTATTTCTTGCCAGCAAAATAAAAAGACGCAGGTATCCCCCAAAGTACACATGCTGATTGGACAGAAAGACACCGTTAAAATGACCAATAAAATGACTTAGGAAAATATCACTGGTTGGATTCTTCATCGAAATGAAAGCTGCTCCCTCTTGGGGAATGTTCCCCCCACCTGGTTCCGTCATGCAATCCATATTTAACTTCAGCAAGCAGTAAAAGAGCTTCATATTTTTGCAAAAAAATTCATCTTCGAATGTGTCCAAAAAGATGCAATATGTTTTGACGCTCCTGAATATACTCACGTGGTGATTCATTTTGATGGCGGTCTCGAACAGCAACGTCAGGGTATCACTTCGTCTACTCACGGGGATGTTCTTCACATTTTTGACAATGCTCACGAGGATCTCGTGCAGATCGTCCTTCGAGCAGCACTCCAAGGCGCAGTTCGAGACGCAATTCAAGCCCCAGTTCGAATCTGTCTGTTGGGGGCTGCCCCCCCCCAGGAGGCGCAGTGCCTCGAGCAGTCCCTCCAACACCACGCGCATATTGACGTGAAAAAAACGAATGCCTTGCAGGCCAACCAGAAAATACTTAGCCATTAAAAGGGGGTTCTTCCTCTTCAGCACTTTCGACACGATGAGGTTCTTCAGGCGGAACTCATAAAACGGAATGTCTCCTTTAATGAACAGCGTTGGCCTTATGCACTCGTCAAAGAAGATGTGGAAGAGGAACGTGTCGCTCATGCAGTCAAGGAGGATCTCCACGTCGAGTGACCCATCCGGTGAGATTGTCCCTCTAGCGGGGGTTCCTCCAAGAGGGGCAGCAGAAGAGGAGGCTACTCCTACCACTACTTCTCCCCCCCTGCACCCCAGTCCTTCCCTCCCCATGTCGCCTCGACTCACCAGCTGGAAAAGCGCAAATCGAGTCACCGTCATGTTGCTATGCCGAAGCAGCAACCAAATGAGAAGCTCCGCCTGACGGAGAATCAAAAAATCCGACAGATGAAAAAATCTTATTTGTCCTTTCTCCACGTCTCTCCTCGCACAGCACTGAAAAATGTAAAAGTCCAGATCGTCAAAGGGTGTAGGCGTACGGGCTGTGGTGATCCCTCGAATGGTCCCTTCACCTGCACGCAAGCTGCGTTGAATACTTGCTGAGCTGCCATGCCATTCGTCCGGCAGGATCGATAAGACCTTTGACGGCTCCTTGGACGACCCCTTTGAGGATCCATTTTCCGACGGAATTCCCTTCCACTCTCCCTTCCTCTTCGCCTCGTACTTCCTCCTAATCGAACTGACGACCCGCAACAGGCTAACCATCTTGTGCCAGTTCTCCTTTAACAAATGGACAGAGAAATTTTGCATGCACCTTAAGATGCACGTGTACAAATCCCAGACTTCGCCAAATTGCCCCCTCTGGTGGAGCTTCCCCCTTTCCTTCCTGTGAGGAATTCTTTCTATCCCATTTACGATGCCATCAAACAGGTATATCACCTTCTTCACGATTTCTTCACTCGTGTATGCCCTGTTATGGAGCAGCAAGAAAAAACGCACATCGTCCAAATTGGCCTCTGTTAAAAATTTACCATCGTACAGATAATCCATGTAGAGCACTTGGTAAGTATACACATCGCTTAGAAGCTGGACATCCGTCTCCCTCCATTCTTTGGTGTAGCAGTTTGCGTTGTGGGCGAGGTAGGTGCTGATCATGGGTGTGGCTTCGCGGGCAGTCGCCCGTGTCCTTTCCACCACGTCTGCGCCTCCCTCCACGTCTGCCTCATTTAGTGAGTCTAGTTCCACTTCCGCGCCGTGGCTGACACAAAAAAACATCCGCTGCGTCACCTCCAGGCATACTTCCTCCATCTCGGACCTACTGAACAGGTACTCCTTCGCCGTATTGCAGAGATCCTTTATTATCACATCGCGCATCTGGGGGTTGCTCACAAAGGGGAGGAGATGCAAAATGTCCCTCGCGATGGACTTCACTTGGAGGAGCCGCCATATAGCGGTTCGTTCCGAGGGTTCTCCGTTTTGATCGTTCTGACCGATTTGGCCCTTTTCGCCGCTTCTGCCTTGTCCTCTCTGTTTGGAGCGTCCCCGGTGGCGGGCCTGCCTGGTGCGTTCTACGTCTGGGCTGGCCGCCGCCACACTCCCCTCTGCCGTATCCCCCTCCGTGACCTTCCTCCCCAGCTTCTCCGTCACCAACGCGAACAAGTGGCACAGAGCCCTGAAATGGAATTCCTCACCGTGCAGGAGCACATCATAGGGGAGGCCCCCCACACGCGGCGCCTTGTCTGATGCATCCCCCTTGTCTGCCTCTTCAATTCTACTCACGAGCCCACTCGCGGATTCATTGACAAACCCACTCGCCGAGTCACTGACGAACCCACTGCCCGACCCAAACCACCGTTGCACCTTTCTGTAAAAAAGTAACGTTTCTTTGTTCTCTCTAAGGTGTGTCTCCACCCTCCCCTTTATGCCCCTTAGCAAAAGGAGCAGGAGTTGCAGAGTGCCGTTCGTGCCTCGTGCTTCTCTCGTTTCAAACGTTAAGACGAGCACATCTGCCAAGAATTTAAATAAAATCGGGTTCGTGAAGAACCCGTCTGATTTGATCAGGTGGACTATCCAAGATATGTCAATCTTGAGGAACTCTCTGCTGAAGTATTTTTCATATAGCGAATTTAAAAAAAGAATTAAAATTTTAATTTGCTCCAGTGTTCTGTCGTCCACTGGGTTGTTTGCTTCAACTTGGCTAGCTATATGGTTGCTTATGCGCATGGCCAGTTCCTTCTTATCCACGTGGGCCATGAAAAACTCGGTGATGTCACAGAAGAACCGATTCAAGTTGTCCTCACGGTGTTCTACTTTCCCTGTGCCGCTACGACAGAAACTTAGCAGAGCGGTTAAGACGTCTGCTGTGTCGCGTTGGTCCTTGGCCATGTTCAGAGGGGGGCAGCAGATGAAGAAGAAGTGGGTGCGGGGAAGGTGGAAGCAAAGATTTGCTCGAACTTTAGGCGAGGCTTGTGTGCGAAGCTCCAGGTCGTGGTTAGGGATAAGGACGCCCCTTTCTCCTTTTAGCTTTCTGCTGGGGGAGTGAGACCCTTTCACGAGTAACAAATCCCTATCTCCCGCTCCACCGCTTTAACCTCTTCTCTGGCAGCCCTCACCCAAAATTGCGGTGATGCCAAACTAATTTCGGTCTAGTGGGGCCACTTCATCACTGGATAAAGAGCTATAATAAGGGGGCCTCCTTTCAGATGCTACTGAACTCATTTGGGAAAAACCCTTCACACTTCCTTCATGTCAAATGGAAAGAATCTGAAATGATGAGTTTTGGCACATTGGAAAATGGAGTAAACTTCTCTTAACTTTTTTTTTTTTTATTGTAATATCTACCCCGATTTGTTCTCTTTCTCGTTATCCATCTCTTTCTGTTTTTATTTTTTTTTTTTTCCTAATGTTTGTCGTTTCCCACTCGAGGAAACATGGCTAGCCATTCTGAAGTGGCTAGAGAGTGACATCTCCACGACATACAAATGACCCTTTTAGGTGCCACACGCATGTGATCTTATGTGCACATGTGAATTTGTTCTATTCGGCAGGGGAGTCAACGCTACGAGGAGCGTCCACCGAATGAGCACCCTCTCCCCCATTTGCAACACGTCTTGCCGGAGTCGTTGTCACCGTTCGTTCTTTCATGGGGTAAGACCTTTCTTTTGCTAACCTATTGCAAGCGTTTTTTCTCTTCAAGGGGGTGCATAACATACTGTGTGAAGATCACCTATATGGAGTCATCCTTTTTTGGGGCCTTTTTTTCGAGTCGGCACATGGGGTGATCCTCATAGGGAGGAAGAACAGCCATACTAGTTAGTCTCCAATTTGATAGTAGATAATTTTTTTGGAGGGAAAGTCTCCTCAACAAAGTTAACAATGTCCTATGCGTTCGTTCCGTTCTTCGGCACAACGGTGTCCACACTTTATCGGTGTATGTACACAGAGGTGGGTTACGCCTCGCGGTGGGTACCACCTCCCACCCCCTTCGCACAGTTCCACGCAGAAAGCGAGACCAACTTTTTACGGCGTTGCGCGAGCAGAACGACAAAAATAGGACAAACAGTCACTCCGAGGAGTATTATCACCTAGCAGACTACTGCCACAACGCGCTTACCACTCTGTAGCGTGTCTCTCCCCTTTCGCCTTTTAGTGGTTCCCCTTTTTGTCACGTTACTTCTTGCCTATTCCGACTTCCGGACAGCTCAAAGGGACTCCCCTCACGCCAGCAACTGACAAACCAACTGACTCCTCCTTTTTTTTTTTTGGCGAAACGTCATGAGCCCATCTCTGGGGAAAGTGCTCAGGGGGGTTCTCCTGATCCTCTGTCTGTTGGCCATTCGGGAAGGTCCGAGCAGAGGGGGAGCTCACCAAACATATCTGTATTCAGTTGCGCATGAATTTGTTTCTGCGTCGGTGTTAATGCGGGGGGCCTCTAACCCACTGTGCCCACTGCGCGCAATTGAGCATAAAAGGAAATTCACCCATGTCCGCCTCAGGTGTTTCCCAAGATGCATGGACCTGCCGCAAAGATTACTCGTATGGGAGTTGCCTCCACCAAGCCTAAGCAGGCACTGGGGCGAACGTGCGTCTCCCCCCCGTGTTGCACCCCTTGTGGTGTGGATCCTCCACAAAATGAGGAAGGGGGTTGATCTCCCTACGCACGTTTATATGTCTATATGTTTATGTCAATGATTTTTTTTTTTTTTTTTTTTTTTTTTCTCCTTTTTGGTGAAGGCGTCCATGCGCAGAGGGTACGTTGAGAGGGGCACAACGATCAAGGAACGACGAGGAGGGAACAACAATCTGCCACCTTTTTCTTCACTACTGTATGCTCTCCACTTGACAAGCGCCAACTCATCCCTCCACACAGGGTGGCACCAGGTGAACACCTCCCAGGAGTGCGTCGCGCCGTTGTCCTACCGAGGACCTTGCCCTCGCTTCCTCCAAATGGAAAACAAAACAACACAAAAAAGGTTGCTCGAAGAGGAGTGCCACATTTACTGGTGAGGCACGACACTACTGCAGGTGGTGCTGACGCTGGAGGTGTTTCTGATACTTCTGCTACCACTCCCACTTCTTCCTGATTGATTTTCTTTTCTTCCTAAATGGCTCCTCTCCCCGCACATCGAAAAAAGGCCCTGCCTAGACCAGTGCGAAAGGAACTACTCTCTCCAGTGCCCCGAGCATTGGGTGCCCGACGACGAGAAGACGTGCCGACCCTTGGCGATTTATGAGGGTACGAACAGGGAGTCTCTCTAGAGCAAACTCGACACGACAACACAGTCGAGAAGAAAGAGCTCCACCTGGTAACATCTGACAATTGATACGTCCCCCGATCCTTTAACAGGAACGTGTCTTCCGTCCCACGACTTCTCCAACATGACTGACGCCCAGAAGGAAATTTGGAGCAACAAATGCGGAACGGACTGGCCATGCATGGTTAGACCAAGCAGGTTTGTACGCTGCATGGGGAATGCCTGTGTGTAGAAGTCCTCCTCATCTGACTTTTTTCTCCCCCTCTTCTAAGGCGTCATGCAAGAAGGACTATTCTAGACGGTGTCCCCAAGTAATACAAGGCTGAATGAGTCTGAGTGGATAGGATTCACTTTTGCCAAAGGGATGTTAACAGATCTAGAGGTTCTTTTTTTTTCTTCTTCTTCTTTTTAGGGGTGGACCAAAGAGAGTAACACACAGAGGACTTCCATTCAATCGCCTCTCTAATTGGGCATTTTTTTTCACATTGGCATCTTTGTCCCATTTGGAATTTTTTTTTTTTTTTCTTTTTGAAAAAAATTAGAGGATGGAAGCTGCTACGCCCCCGGAAAATACTCCGGACCATGTCTCTCTCGAATGTCTTTACTAAATGTGGACGAAGATATGAAGGTCGGGTCGCCACCAACACGGAGGCACATCGTCACGTGTGCATAACAGGACAGGGAGCTCCAATCGTAGTGCAACATTGGGGGCCGCATAGAAGCAATCCAACGGAGAAAGACACTGATTTTTTTCCTCCCTTCACTTTTCCCTTTACTGGGCAAAGATTGCACTTGAAAAGCTGTGCAACGTGAGCTTCCCATGTGTAGAGACCTGCGACGTGGATATGAGCGACGTAAGGAAGGAATGGAAAAAAAAAAAAAAAAGAAGATAGCAATTGTGCTTCTTACCACCATGATGATGACTGCTCTATCCTTGCCAGGACCATCTCTTTTTTCTAAGTGGACAGCACATGAGGAAGGGTTGGTCCCCCTTTTTTCCTTGTTTTTTCAATTCTTCTCCAACAGCCCTGTCCTACCGGATGGCTCGTAAAATCGGACGCCTTCGGAAATGCTCTCAGCTGTCTTCCCCCAGATAACTACATGGGTCCATGTGGGGAGGAGACCAAACTGATGGGTAATTCTACGTGTGAAGAGAGTGATTCAACTTCTCAGAAACCTGTCCTGCTGAGAGGATCATATGTGTACGCGCAAGTCTGCATAGCAATTTTTGTTGCATCATCCCAACCCCCACGTACTGAAGGTCTCCCCAACTTGAAGTCGAAAGAGCGCATGGCATATGAGTGTGGCGTCAGGTGGCCCTGTGCTCCCGGTGAGAGGCCCTACCGCGAAGAGAGCAAAAAGGCAGAGCAAAGGAACGAAATAGAATCCCCAGAAAATAAAAACAAAACGAAACAAAATGAAACAAAAAAAAAAGAAGCGCAAAGTGGAATCGATTTATTCAAGCGCACACACATCAGCTTTCTTTACAACACTTTCGACATGTGGCACGCGCTTCTTCCTTTTTTATCTCCCCCCTTAAATGGTTCCCCTTTTTTTTTCCTTTTTTTAACGTGACTTTATTTGAAGCTGCCAATCGGATAGACTACGAGCAATTCTGCCCTAACGGATGGACGAAGAACCAACAGGTAGTATCTCAATGGGATACGTTGCCAAAGTGGGGGGACAACCCCCCTCTTTCCCCAATGCTAACACGTCACCGTTGCTCCCTAACAGTTGTGGAATTTTAAAAAATGACATGATTGTACATATGAGGTCGAACCAAAACGTAACACGTGCACAAACTCGAGCAGCATGAAGACACCCATTTAGTGTATTACCATTACCCATTTTTTTGATTTTTTTTTTTTTCCAATTTGTAGTACTGTGTTGCCCCCCCAAGTTATGAGGGTCCTTGTGCGAGGAAAAAATTATTTGGATCATTCGAAAAGGGAATGAAAAGGGCTTACGCTGAAGAGTGTGATGGTTAAATCGTTTGCTTTTCTTTTGGCAAAATTGTGTAGCCGTGTTGTGGTCGTAAGACGCGCCGCAAGAATTCGTGTTCGTGTTGGGGATCCTTTAGGCGTGCACACAGGATTACGCTTACCTTTATGTTTATGGTTTTTTTTTTCTTCTTCTTCCCTTTCAGTTGAATGGCCCCTACTAGGAAGGGAAGCGTCTGACTCGTACCCCAAAGGCTCAGGTAAGCGATCGTAGAGCGTATCACTGTGCAAGGTTCAGTGTGTACCCCCTTCTTCTTTTTTTTTTACGAGATGGTTTCACTGCACTTCAATTTCTGCCTCTTCCCCCGCAACGGCAACGCACGGGCGTCTGCAGCCCTACGGAAGAGGAAACATAACATTGGCCCTGTCGACCCATTCACTGGGGCCATAATCTCCGGCACTGAGAAGTGATGAGACGCGAAGATTTCAGCCACTCAGATGAGATCACGTTGTCCGTTTATGCCTCCCATTGTGGAGGAGTAACGTTGTGTGTACTTGTTCGTCATTGCCCTATTGGAACGTGAGAAAGGGGGTTGGAGGTTCCGTGGAACGTTGGCTGGAAGGTTGACTGGAAGACTGATTGGAAGATAAATTTACTGGTCGATTGACCGCTCCATTGATTGCATACGTTTGTGCCTAGCTCTTTTTTTCTCCTTTCCATTCTCCTTTGTCTGTTATTCAACCCATTTGGACGAAAAAAGGTAAAAGCGCGCCACGGACCACACCCCACTGGGTGTAATTGTCGTTTACCAAAATGGTGAACATATCCATTTCTTCCTTTCTTCCATCATTCCTTCCCTTTTCTGTTTTTTTTGCAAAGGAGAGTAACCTAACCTGTATCCCCCATATTGTATGCACTGTCAGACCATCATACATGACCGTAAAATGAAAGTAAAAACATAAGTTTCACCCGACGGGTGATGAGCTGCTAAATTGCGCAATTAATCCTCCTGGGGAGGGAAGCTTCGTTTTTATACATTCCTTGCTATCTAGATGGGTAGGCAGCTAGCTTTGTTTTTTTTTTTTTTTAATGTGAAGTTTTTTGATGCATTTTTACCTGACCCCTTGAGGAAAAAAAAAAATAATAATAAATAAATATATAAAATAAAGTAAAATGAAATATTCTCATGTTTGCCGAGATGCACCCCCTTTTTGCGTATTAAAAATGGGTTAAGCTGGCAAACGCGGGAGTGCGTCATCAGGGTCCAATTGGCATAGAAATATAGGGTGCTTCTGAAAGGTGCTTTGCGGAGAGGTGGTAAGACATGTTATCGCACTGGGCCACGCGGCGCCCAGCAGTAAGGCCGAAATGGAGCATAGCATAAAGGGAATAAGCTGAGGCGGAGCGAGATAAACGAATCGATAGGAAACCCCGCGGGAGAATCCTGTGCACGCTTTCCTCGCCATTTTTTTATTTTTCCCTGACTGCTCACATATTTGGAAGTTCTCGGTCACAGCGGTGGGGCGGAGTTGCGCTTCCCCCGCTAGCCCCTCGTCAACCCTGCTGCACCTCTTCACGGTGCCCCAATTTGTCTTTCCCTTCTCCGCTAACGTCTACTAGTCGATTTCGAAATTAAGAAGGACGATGCGCGAATGGCTGGGCGTCAGCGGGTACCGAAATGATGCAAAAACGGGGAAGCACAAGTAGAAGAAGAGGAAGAAGTGTGCCCCGCAATTGGCTCAAAAAATAGCGACATTTCTACATTTCTTTATCGAAAAAAAAAAAAATAAAATAAAATTTCTTCCATTTTTCATTTACATAACCGCGCGTGCGGTGTGGTAAATAAAACATAAAACCATGGGTAATGTAAGGTAAAAAAAAAAAAAGAAAAACATACAAAATGTGAACGTAGCAACATGCAGAGAAATCGAAGAAAGAGTAAGAAGTGAACAGGTTAACAGCTCTGCATGCACTTGCTCATGAACATACAGACCCCCTCCCATCATTCGCCGTTCACACCCAGTTTTAAGAACCATCTTGCGAAAAGGAACACTGGGCGAATCGGTATCCCATAGGAGAGGGAAAAAAAAGGGCAACTGGGTGTAAATGCGCTGAAGTGTGCGAGAACTTGCAGAAATGAAGGGGCACTCCCAGGCATACCCACGCACAACTTCCGTGACTGTTCATGGCTTTTCGTGATTGCCCTTAATTGATCATAAAAAAAGAAAAAGACGGTCCTACATAGGGGTTACCGCAAAACGCGAAGAAATGCACAGTCACCGAAGCAGTGAACGAAGTAGAATTAATCGCGTCCAGCCGCAGAAGTGACCAATACACCACCACCACCCCAATGTTGCACTGTTTTAATGTCGCATGAAGAGGGCACTTAAAACATTCGCTTATTTCTACAAATTTTTTTCCCCTCCTAAATTATTCCTAGGGCTAGGTGTAAATTACGGAGGGGCATAAACAGAACGCGCATTTTTCGCTTCTCGTTTTTTTCAGTTTCCCCCTATGAGACTGCCTTTGTCTTAGCGCCAGCATGTGCTGCGCTGCTACCCTGCCGCCAATCTGCCATTACTCTACCGCTACTCTGCTGCATTGATGCATGCAGGGTGAAGCTTTCTCCCGATGTGACAATTGCGCAATGGTGAGCTACACATGTGCAGTGGCCACACGCATGAACATACCTGCAACAGAAGGCAATTTTTTTTTCTAATCGGAAACACACCCGACATACGCACCCTTTACGTAGAATTCCCTAGCGGGAAAAAAAAAAAAAAAATTCAAGTCACGAAATCATGAATGAGTGAACTAACGGAAGAGCAAAAGAGCGAAATAATTTCCAGCCTATGACACAATTCCCTGTGTTGGGGGGGTGGAAAAAGAAAAGAAGAAGCAACTCTCTGTACACCCCACACAAGTGTGCAGGTGAATGTCACAACATTTGAGTCATTTTATGGTCCACTCGGAGGGGGGGCAGGCGACGCCAGTAGCCGCTTAGAAAAAATTACGGACGGGGGGGGAAAGAACCTCTTGGAAAATAACGAGCAGGATATGCCTGTACATCTCCACCTGAGTGTGTGTTTTTTTTTGTGACTCCTTATTCGTTTCCCCGCGCGTGTGCGCTTGGGTACCGACCGGAACGAACACTTCCCCCACGACGTCCTGCTCGTGTAGACGCAGCGGCTAACTGGTAAAACCTCTGGGCGACGCCCGAATGGTGTTCCTAGCAGGGCCTTCTTTTTGCTTCAAGGGGCAAACGATTTGACACTTCCTTCAAGCTTCTTCACCCCGCTGCTCTACCGCCCTGCCTCACCGCGCTGCTTTCCCCCCCCCGAAATGGCCACCAACCTGGGGAACTCGGACGAGCTCCTAAAAGAGTTAGACCTGAAAAACTACGTCACCTTGGTGAAGAGGTGTTTTAAAAATGGGATAAAAAAAGAGGAAGAGGACATCTGCGCTCAGGACTTGAGGAATCTGGCCAAGTGTCTTCCCAGAGTCTCCGGCGTGTGGTACGATTTGCACAAGAACAGTTGGGAAGCCAGGTGGGCTGAAGGGACCAAATCTGCAAGGAAGTATTACTCAGTGCAAAAGTTTGGGTTCCATGAAGCGAGGAAACTAGCCATTAAGACCATCAAGACGAAGGAAATCAATTATATATACAATACCATTAATGAAGATTTTAACAAACCCCTCAAGTGGAATTTAAATAGTGAATTCCTAGAGATGAATCATGACCCCATAATTAACTTGAAGAGGAAATATAGATCCCCTAGCTGTAAAGTCAGGGAGAAGAAGATTAAAAAGGACCTCAGCAATGGGAACAGTGTTAGTAGAAAGGATAAAGGTGAAAAGAAAAGTGCCCCTCAAACGAGGGGGTTGAGAAGGGGACATGGCCATTACAGCTCTGCCGCGAGTTGCAGCACCTCGGCGAAAAGTGGACCCCACAAATTGGAGCAGCAGAATGGCAGCTGGAGGGACAGACGAGACGGGAAAAAAGCACTAAATGGGTTACATCCACATGGCATCACCAACGACGACGGGGAAGATCAAAGTGAAGCTTCGTACCTCTTGGACGGCAATATTTCCAAACTGAGAAGCGATCAGCGGATGGAGGACATTTCTACCCAGCATGTCGTAGAAGGTAGTCTCTCCAGTACTTGTCTGAAGCGGAAGGAGACATCAGCAAACACCGAAACGGAGTTGTCTACAGAGGGAAAATCACAGCTTCTTCTTCATATCGATGAGTGCAATGGTACGTGCCTGAGTAGAGAAGACCCTTTGGGGAAGGAGAACCGATGCATCATCAACGAAAAGGGAAAGAATCCCTCCAGTGTAGACAGTCTCAACGGTCACATTAACCGAGTGAGCGATTATCCTACACCCCCCATACGTACCCCCAGCGACAGTGATAAAATGGAGGAGAACAATTCCAGTAAGCAAGGTAGCGATAAAACAGACAAGTTAGGGAACACACTCCAGAAAGATACACTCCGCAAAAAAGAAATCACCAACTGCAATAAAGACATAAAAGGGCAAGACAAAACAAACATGGGGAAGTTCCCTGGCAACAAAATCCTGAGCTACATGAGACAAAACAAAAAAACGAAAAATAAAAGCACCCTGTATGTCAAACAAAGTGGACTCCTAAAGATGAACTTAAAACAATCGCCAAGTAAGATGTTCAGTAGGGAACATAGCTCCGGGTGGAACCGAAAGGATTTTAAAAAAAAAAGTTTCCTAATTGAGAAAACGGCATGCATAAATGGGGGTGCCCTTTTTGTTAAAAAAATTAAAAGTTGCAATCACCCGGAGGGGAAGAAGTGCAGGAATTGCGACCTCAGGAGGAAGCAGCTGAGGGGCCTGCGCGAGCACGGTTCACTCTTGATTTCGAGCGTGCTCCCAAACGGTGGAGAAACCTTCAATGGGGGAGAAAGCTCCAACGGTGGAGAAACCTTCAATGGGGAGGAATCCCCCAACGTGGACCTGATGGACCAACTCAGCCCGGACGAGGGCTCCCCCACTGATGACGAGAAGGACGCGCAAAACGGCGAGGAAGGGGGTGATAGGACGAGTAAACAGCCGGGTACCCTAAAGGAAGAAGCAAAGAGGGAAGAAGCACAGAGGGAAGACGCGCAAAAGGAAGACACACAACAGGGGCGCACACAACAGGGGCGCACACAACAGGAGTACCCCCAAAAGGAATATACGAAAAAAGAAAACACCCCATTGAGCATCCCACGTGGTGAAAAGTCGCAGAAGATGAAGTGCCGCGTGGAAATTAACTTAAAGGAAGTCATTCATTCGGACACGCTAAGCATATTCAAAAATGCAATTAATTTACTGTTAAACGATTTGAAGTGCAAATGTGTGCCTCACTTGGACAAGCAGTTTCTGAACATCCTGGAGATCATCGATAATCACATCAGCTACGTAAATTCCATGCTCAGTGAAAACATTTTAATCACTTATGTGCACTTATTTGACATTTGTGTGTCCAACAATATTTTGCCAAGTCAAATGGACCAAAACATACAGAAGGTTTTCTGCAATGCGCTGATTGCGTTTCATATTCTCCTTTTTAATTTCTTGAGGGATAAGCGGGGCTAGGGTGGCCCTGGCCTCCACCTGACGCATGAGCTATTATAAATGCGCAGAGTGAGTTAACTTAAAAGGAGAGGCGTGTACACGAGGGGGACTCCCCGCCGTGTGCACTGACGTTGGAAGGACGGGTGCCCGTCCTGCCTACCAAGTTAACGCTGAAGTGGTGTTTTTTGTTTTCTTCTTTTTTTTTTCTTTCTCTCTTTCTTTTTTTCTCTTTCTTTTCTTTCTCTTTCTTTATTTCTTTTTTTTTCTTCCTTTTTTCTGTTTTCCTTATGTTTGCGGTACGTACAGCCATCCGTCGTGAGAAGACCCGTCCAGCCCGAATTGGACATACACAGACACGACTTCTCCCCCGCGCTGCCGCTTAACAACTACAACAAGTTTCACAACCTCGAAGTGTTTGCCTCTTTCCTCACTGGTGCGTGTGCACATTTGCGTCCTACTTTTTTCTTGCCTAAACAAGCTAGCTATTTGCTCCTCCCCTTTGCAATTTTTTATGAACTGTTCATGCAAAAGGTTGAAAAAAAAAAAAAAAAAATCATATTTTTCTGCAAATTTTTGCAAATTTATGCAAATTGCTGTGCGCGCCTTTTTGGCTAGCACGTTTTTCATCCGTTTACTCTTGCCGGGTTATAACTTCCCCCCTCTGTTGGGCAATTCTGCTTCGTTCACTTCTGCATCTTCGTCCACATCACCCACTTCACCCGCTTCGCTGACTTCTCCAGCTTGGACCACATCGCCCACTTCACCCGCTTCGCTGACTTCTCCAGCTTCGTCCACATCGCCCACATCGCTCACTTCATCCACTTCGCTGACTTCTCCAGCTTCGCCCACATCGCCCACTTCATCCACTTCGTTCACTTCTCCAGCTTCGCCCTCCGCGCGGCGCTGCTCCTCCATCTTCACCCGATGCAACCAGTGCAACTTCCGCTCATACTTGGAGGGTTTCCCGGAGAAGACAATTCGACGCGGAATCCTGTTCATATTCTCATCGTCGGGGTTGTACTCTGCGTACACAATGTCTTGTGTGTTCTTCTTCAGCAAGAGGCACCTCCCCCCGAGCCTAATAATTTCACGCGCCGCCTTAACTGTAAAGGAGTGCGCCTTCACGATGACATGTTTCGCATAAAACTCAAAGTCGAAGCCGTGTTTCATTTTGTACTTCTTCAAATTACACCCGACGACCTTAATGGGGTGTTTCCGTTTGTACTTTCCTATTCGCAGTCCCATTTTGTCTATCACATTCCAGTCAATCTCGAGGTACTTCTTCTGTCCACTTCGTGTGTAAGCCAAGTTAATTAAGTTGAGTGGAATTAATTCATAGTCATACCGATTGAAGTGGTAACCTGGTCCCATTGGGGCGGCAACAAATTTTGGCAATTTTCTATACAATGGTGTCTGACCCCCTTCAAAGCCTATGGGGATGGACCCTCCACTTCTACTTTTCTGTCCTTTCATTCCTCTTCCGCATGATCCTCCCCTTTTACTTCCTACTCCTCTCCCCTTCCGTCTCCTTTTTTTGTCCTCCATGGAGGGTATGTTAAAAGGGGTGATGAAGTATTCATTCGGTTCTCTGTTCCCTCCAACAACTGTTGACTCCCAGTACACATCCGCTTTCAGCTTCATGTCGTTAATCAAAGGGTAAATGGCCCTGGGCCAATCCATCTGAGTCAAGTCCCAAACCAGAGGGGTTTTTGTCTGTTCATGTAAATCATCCATAATTTTTTTAATCCCCAATTTAATGGCTTCCTCTTGGTGCTTCACATTTACTTCGTTAATTTTTTTTTGGATTTCTTCCCTCAGTTTGACTAGCTGTTCGTTCTTTTCGTCATACACTAGGTATTGGTTCTTTTCTATCTTTTCGATTTCTTTAATTATGGGTTCTATGGCTTCCTCCTGTTCCTTGATCACGTTTTGCAGGAACTTCCTCTGTTCTTCATTGTAGGGGGATTTGAAGACCCCGTTTTTTATGTCCTCCTCTAGCTGCTTGAATTGTTTATGCCTCAGGGCAATTTTCCTATTAATTAACGCCTTGTACTTTTTGTCCACCAGCTTTTTTTCCTCCTTCAGTTCTTTAAACATGGTGTTGGCTCTTCCTATTTTGAAGCTCCCATCCATCATGGTGCCGAAGATTCCTCTCAGTTCGTTTTGATCGCGTCGTTGCAGCTCCTTAGTTGGGTCACCTTTTTCATCCAAGTTATGCTCCTCGCTGTGGCTTCCGTCGCTCCTCTCCTGTCTCTTAGCCCAAGCCTGTTTTTCCTCCTCGACATCAAAGTCTATATTAAACTGCCGCTTTACCTTCCCCAAGAGACTGTTAATCGTGTCGATCATATTGTACTTCTCCTCCACCTCCTCTTCTTTGAAGAGGTTCAGGTTCCTTTTCTTGCTCCCTGGAGTGATCCCTCTGTGTCTTTGCTCGCTTATCGGGCTTTTTTTCTGCGTCACGCTCAGGGGGCCCCCTTTGCGGTCGCTGATGACGAATCCTCTTACGAGCGTCGTGCACAGCAGCAGCAAAAACGCGGGGCACCTCATTTTGGGGGCGGCCTCTTAAGCGGCGCCATTCTGCCCTCAGCAGGGATGAACGAAGCATCAAGCGGGTTCACGCAGATTAGCAGTTAACACGGATTAGCAGCTAACACAGCTTCACGCTCAACACAGCTTCACACTCAACACAGCTTCGCACAGCTCAACTCACTGCACTAACATGGGGCCACACCGACACAGTTTCACGTATCGTTCCGCACAATCTTACGTGAAAACCATTCGTTGCATCTCTGCACGGGTCGATGTTGTCTTATGTCACCCCCCAAAGTGGAGAAGGCCCCCTTCCCTTTTTACTAAAAAACGGCTTCACCTGATCGGTGTATGCATGTGCATGTTTGTGGGTCTATGTCTACCCCTTCGGAGTTCAATTCGGTGAAAACTTCTCGATTTGGATGACTGCACAGGGGGCATTGTGCTTCCATTCGTTTCCTGCCGTTCGGCGGGGTAAACATGCTCGGGCGAATCACTTTCGTGGGAAATGCCCTGGAGGTGACCCCACTGGGGAGAAGCCCACATGGGTGTCCCTTCTCCAAGTGGTGCGTTGCGTCCTCTTCTGCGGTGCAATGACGCCGCTCCTGACTTTCTCCGTACAGATACCCCGCGTTGTGGCCCTTGTCTGTGTCTGTCCTGGAATGATCACTCCCCTCTTCAACGGCTGCGCCCTGGTTTTCCTTTTTTTTGCAAAACGGTTGAACTGCCCCCCAAAAACAAAATGTGCCCCTTGGGGGGAAGAAAGAGAAAGCGCAGCCCTCAAATGGCACCTCCAAAAGGCAAAGTGCATTCCTTCTTTCAACCTTCTCCACATGTGGGGTATTGTATACACATGCATACTTGGGTGTATATGTCACGCGCAGAGGAGAATTCCATTGTTCCTCCTTTGCTCCCAACTTAGCATTTTCCTCACTCCCCCCACATGGTTATAGCGCGCGAATGAATTTAAAAAAGGGTGTATTGACGCACATACGCTAATTCGCTCATGTAAATTTTAACGCTCGCAAAGAAACTTGCTTTCCAACTGCGGCACTCCTTGAAAGGGACCCTTCTACTCGCGAGGCGATGCATGTAGCCAAGGAGTTCGTTTCGTTTTAACCACGTAAGAAATGTTACTCATCCTTGTGTGATTAGGTGAGAATATGTCAATTTTTTTTTTTTTTTTTTTCTCTTTTTGCAACTTTACGAGATCGGGGTTGTTCTCCACGTTGCTGCACTTGTTAGAGCTCATTTGGTTTTGCCCACATTGGAGAATCTACCTCCGCGCATAGGATACACCCCTTTGTTGCATACCTGTACATGCGAATTCACACCGCGCTAGCAATATGAAGCAACCGCCCAGCAATGAAATTCTTTCCTTGCCCCAGAGGGGGAGGAGACGAGTTGGTAGGAACAGCGCTAGTAGTGACGGGGTGGACTCCGAGGATAACGGCGAACAGAGTGCATACGACAGCGCAGAAGAAACTGATGACAGCGGAAAAGGCGGGAGCTGCGTTCATATTGACGGCAACGACGAGGAGAGCGCGCAGAATGTGGCCCTGCACTATGCGGAGAAGAAAATAAAGGACGGCCAATTCGAGAAGACGTACCACTACGAATACCTGGACCATCCAGCCGATGTCATCCTACACAGTTACGGAAACACCCTAAAGGAGTGCTTCGAGTCTGCATGCGTATCAATGTTTAACTACATGTGTAACTTGAGTAAAGTGGAGCCAAAACTATCAAGGCACATAACAGCTAGAGGGGAGACCCTGGAAGACTTACTTTACAGCTTCTTAACCGAATGCCATTTCTTGTATGGCAGTGAATACATCATTTGTAAAGCTGTGGACATTTCAGTTTTCGATCAGAGGTCCTTTTTCATCGAGGCCTATGCATATGGTGATGTTTTTTCGCCTGACCTGCATGAATGTGGCACGGAGATAAAGGCTATCACAAAACATGAGCTGAGAATTTGTTTGACGGAGGACCTTTGGGAGGCGTTTGTCCTGGTCGACATATGAGCAGCGGTAGTGGAGGGGAGGCGGCAGTGTACTTCTTCTGTGAAGGTCACTCAGGGAAGAGGCGTTCCCCATTTGGGATACCACTCCATGGATTGTTTCTTTGTTCCCCTTTTTTGCTATCACAGTCACGGTCACTATTATTTTTTTTTTTTTTTTTTTTTTTTTGTCCTTTTTTTTCGAACCTTTTTCCGCTGCTATAAGTTTTTCCTTCTCCTCGATCTTGGCGAAATGGGGGAGGAAAAGTGTCGTGCAGGGGTTAGCAGGGTATGGGGAGGAGGACTGCCCTACCAAAGTGGCCCTCCGTATGGTGCCACTCTGCATGGTAACTCCCCAAAAGAT